ATCATTGGTCATATGGTGGTACTTGGAGAGCCAACTATTTTCTCAGGTGGTACTTGGTGTAAAAAGGTTGAGAACCACTGATCTAGATAATTTCCTTATCATGTTCATAATTATGTTTTGATTTAGCTGCTATATTGTACTGCCATGTGGTAAATACTTGTTTATGCTGCTCTTGCACTTTTTGCACATCATGTATTTTGTTATATGTATTTTGCATTGTCCCTGCCAAATAAACGATTAAATAAAAAAATTAAAATGAATTAGCCAAAATAAGTTTCTAATCTTATTATTGACTTTGATACTGGGTGAAATAAAAGGTTGTAGCTGAGTCACTTCTAATAGATCATTATTTTCATAGCCTAAAAAGGACTAGGAATGTATTTATTTTTATTTCCTTATTCGACAGACCAGCTTAACACTCGGTAATCTTCGTTTAGCCTAGATTCCTAATAGGTTACTCATTATGGTTTACAATGCAGAGAAGCATTCAACATGTCTGTGTCTCTGCAGGAAATCGCTAAACGATTGCAAGAAGAGGAGAAGCAGAGAATCACGAGGCGGAGCAGAGGGCAGGACAGTGAAGGTACCGTCTTTGTTCTGCCTCTATTCCTATTTGAGAACATTTGTCAGCGAACATTAGATACTGCAAACAAATCTTTAATACATTGTGAGGATTTGTTTAGTTTTTAGGGACTAGTGTGAAAAGAAAAATGTGTTGTGTACTTGGTATAGTATGTGGGTTTGTTTCTAAGATTGAGAGACTTTTCAGTTGCACTTAATGTAAGACAAACACCACAACTTGTTCAGCCTCTCTATAACCATGCTTTGCTGCACTGCTAATGCCTGTTATTGTTCTATGTTAACACGCTCTCTCAATATATAACGGCATGAACAAAACATTCCAAACATCTACAGTATATTATCTCCATGTTATGAATCAGCTGCAACTAACATGCATGTCTTTAATGTTGTGTTTACAAGGTATTCATGTTACCAAATGTTTTAGTTGTGTCTAAAACATTGATATAATACATACATGTAATGCAGTGTGTTACCACAGCACCTCTTTAATAGTTCCTGCTACCAGCCTCACCCATGCACCCTGCTTTTGTGTTTGCATGTTGGCATTACTAAAGGCAGCACCAGTGGTCCTGCACTGCCATCTCCACACCAGCACACACTCAGCAGCCCACACCAAGGAGAGGAGCAGTACTCATCTAGCACCAGCAGGTGGCAATGTTCTACCTCTCGCAACCATTCAGACTCAACTCGTCCTCAGGTTGACTCCCCCAGGGGGGTAGCAGCTCAGAGAAACAAAAATTCAGGGTCAAATCAAGGACACGCAGATTCCGAAAGGGGAATCAGGGGTGAGCGTGTGAGTGAGGATTCAGAGGACTCGGACACGGTGTTCTCTGAACAGCTCGCTGTCTGGTCCCAGAGACTGAATGAGAGACTCAACACGCCACCCCCTCGACGACGGGCATCTTCAAATCAGCCAGAAGAGAGAAACTGTAGAAGTCTTTCCTCTCGTAGCAGCTTTACAGAGCAAGAGAGAGGAGAGTTGAATCAGGAACATTATGAAAATGCCGACCTAGAGGAGAGGAGGCCCAGGGTTTGGGATCAAGCAAGACGCCATGGTGAGGAGTATGAGGGTTCGCACAGGAGCAGGGATCAGGATAAAGACTGTAGGTTAGTGGAAGTAAGAGAAAAGCGATGTAGTCGTAGTGAATCTGTCAGGCTACCTAACGGGGGTAAACACAACAACAAAGACTTAGCGAGGACCTGGAGCTATAGGGACAGCCCCGACAAACGTGTGCATTTTCAGGACAACTCCAGGAGCTCTATAAGGCCGCAGCAGGGTAAGAGCAGAGGAGTCTGGGAGATGCTGGGCCAGGTCCTCAGAGAGAGGGGCGTGCCTGTGAGGCTGGGCGGCAACGGGGCGCCACTTCAAATAGGGCCTCAAAGCAGAGACAGCCAGGTGCTTCATGGGAGTGAGGTCTCCTGCGGCGACTCCCTACCACATCAGAGAGTCTTCCAAAGAGCTGCCAACACCAGGCACAGTTTCCATGGAGATACCCGGGAGAGGAGGAGGTTGCCACAGCGAGAGAGCAGTGGGAGAGATCACACAGAAGACCGGCTGCGAAATAATGTGGAGCATGATGAAAAGGTTTATGAGATTAGTAGGAGAGACTCACATCTTCCTAGCAGAGAAAGGGGAGGCAGCAGAAGGTGGAAAGAGCACGGATACACTAATGAAGACGAGAGGGAGAGGAATGCAAATGACAGCAGGGTCAAAAGGACAACGAGCGAACGTAGGCGTTGGCACCAGACCATCGAGGAAAGGTTGAGCTCAGAGGAGGAGCAGGAGGTGGAGAGGAGAGTGGAGCGGCCCCATCGCAGAGCCTCACGGCGCAGCCAGAGCCTCAGCAGCAGCAGCAGCAGCCGGGCTCCAACAGGAGATAGGTCGAGGCTCGAGGCAGCAGGTAAAACCCAGAACTGCCGCCAACTCCAATCTGCAGAGAAAAGACTTCCAAAGATGTACACCTCTCTGTGTGCATCCACTCCTTTCATCTTCTCTCAATCATCGTCTAATCAGGACTAATGTGGGTTTCCCTCGGGGTCTCTCACTGAAGGTCTCTCCTGTCCATATCTATTACTCCAGTAGTCCTGAAACAATCTTTAGTGTGGGCTTTCATTCTTATCTTCATCTTCATTCCTTTTAGTTTTGATGTGGTGAGGGGATAAGTACTATGGGGTGCCTTTTTTAAAGAAACACCTAGCAACATGCCCTTACATGCTGCATCCTGTCATCTCTAAGTGTGATTCAAATGTCATCGCTGCCTCTGTTTCTGAACATTTGTGTGATTCATCCCTGATTTTCATGTTTTATGGACTTTCCGTACTCCGTGTATGCATCACGCTTCAGTTCCTTTGAATTTACCAGTCATTCCTCCCCCCCTCCCCTAGGACGGTCATTGCAACCGGTGCCAGTGGCGGAGAGCCTGGACCTGGGGGAGCTGCATCAGGTCCTAAAGGATGAAGAACTTGCTCAAAAGCTGCAGGAGGAAGAGGAAAAGCTGTCGAGGAGGGTAAGAGTTTCTCTCGACATGTTGTGATTTAGGAGTTAAGGACAAAAAGTCAGTTTCTCTCTTCATTCACTTTTTGTTTTGTGCAGAACTCAGAGCCCTCTCCATGTAGCCCTTACCCAGAGGGAGACTTCAGAGCAGCACAAGTGGCACAGGATGAGGTACAAAACATGTCATCACTATCCATGCCTCCATTGTTAACATCTACCTTTGGAATGATGCATTGTTATTTAACCCTAGGAAATAGCCCGCTTTATGCAGAAGCAAGAAATGAAGACAAAGCGAAGATCCCGTGAGCTCGAAGGGCCGTCGTCGTGGCGAGAGCACAGATCGATGATCAGTCATCACGACAGACGGGCTTCAAGAGACAGACCGGTACATGTGTTGTAAATCATTCTGTTACAGTCTAGAATGTCTTTCTTTGCTCTTTTGCTACAATAATCATTTTAATAATTTATTTTAACAAGCTGATGAAATTATAACAATTCTTGTTAAAAAAAAAGTCTATAATTAAAGCTATTTTAAGATTACCTTACGAGTCCTACATTTTTGTTTTTTTATTGTATTTTTAATGTACTTTATCCCATTTTATTTTTATCAATTGTATTTATGTATTATTGATATCACGTTCTATCTTGTGTTTTTGTTATTTTTCTTGTGGTTTTGTTTGTCTTTTGGTGCTGTCATGTATGGTTGCTAATCTTTAACTGAGATAAAGGTGTTTTGAGATATTGGGCTATATAAATACACTTTGTCTGATTTGTCCACTTAGGTCCAACGAGAGAGGCTTGACTCAGAGGGCCTTCATTCCCCTCCTGAGGACGGCTCCCCAGAGAACCAGCCACCCAGCACCTTCTCCACAATACCGTAATTGTCTCTACATGAAAATACATGACATCGATTCTGTATTTGTACCATATGTCTATCTACTTTACATGCTGACGTACAAAATGTGCGCTTACAGACAAGCCCAGCCGATCAGAAACATTGCGGAGGAGCTGGACCCGACCTTCAGGGCCGGGAGGCCGGACCCCGAGAGCCTCAGAGTGGGACAGGCAGGTCGGTAAAAACAGGGAAGATGAAGCTCTCCCCACAATGGGTGGACCCTCACATCCTGTTTCCTTTTATTGCAGGTCCAACCTGTCAGTCACTTCCTATGCCACATCCTGGCTTACACGACCTACTCGAGGAGCCTGCTTTCATCCCACCCACAAAACGGCAAACGGACAAATCAGGACGCTCAAAACCCAAAGAGAAGAAGGAAAATTGCAAGCAACAATAATTGTTTTCAACACGCCGTTGGAGTGCATATATATATATTATATTACACTAAACATCAGTCCAGCTACAGAGGATTAAGTTCTCTCTCCCAGCTCCCCCTATTAGCACTTTAGACCAGTGGAACACATCAGAAGTGACATTTTACAATATTTCTTGACTAAGTGAATATTTACTCATTCTGTAAAAGTTTTCAAAGGGAACATTTTGGTTCATCAAAGTATTTTGATTCTCAGTGTTAATGAGTGTTTAATTTAAACAGTTTGTGTTTTTTCTATCGATTTGTTACTTTAATTCGTTTTTATTTAGTTAAGCAGTGAGTATCCATCCATTATGTCTGCATGTTACCAATTAAGGCCGAAAATCTCAGGCTGACCGGTTGGCTCTGTGCCTCTTCCAAAAGCGTCCAATATTTAAAATGACAAAACAATAAGTTCCTTGTATAAACTTTGAACCTGAATGACGTGGTCTTAGACAAGCTACTTTAAGACTTCCCCTTTCTGAGTGCCTGCTACTTTGTCTCAAGCAGTTTGGCATGGCTCCAGCCACGTTTAAAATAGTACGATGACAATCAAATGAACATATTTAACCCTTACTAAAGGGTTTTTTGAAAAACATACAACCATTAGAAAATGTTGAAATGTCTAAATGATACTATACCCCTTAATTTTAAGTTGAAATAACTTGATTAATGTATTTATTTTCCAGGTGGATTTTTAAAATCATCAGACAGTAATGATGGCAGCCTTATTCAACACACAGCATTTTTATTTGGTATGATCATATATAACCTCCACATTTAAAACACTTTATTTGTTGTTTTTTGGTTGTGTGTTTTTTTATACATATAAAAATATATGCCACTGCTTAAGTGGACCACTATGAATGCAATTGTTGTAAATGTATTTAAGTGCAACAAATAAAAAAAAAAATCCTATTATATTGGCTATTTGAAAACTCCTAAACATACAGTTTAACAGCATAGTCCAGTTTAACAGCATAGTCCAGTGTAACAGCATAGTCCAGTGTAACAACATAGTACAGTATAACAGCATAGTACAGTATAACAGCATAGTACAGTATAACAACATAGTACAGTATAACAGCATAGTCCAATGTAATCCTGGACAGTTGTGAGGATATAACTCAAATAACAATGAGAAGGCAGACAGCTTAACTTATATACGAAACAACTCAGAAGTTCATACATACATCAGATAACAGTAAAGTGCTACAGTTGGTATAAACATGTTGCTGTATAACAGCCTGTGGTAAGTGAAGACAGCTCTGTGGTCTTTGTACAGACCTCACCACCCATGACTTGTGACTCATACGTCTTTACTCACACGTATAGGTGGGGACTACGTTTAATCCCACGCGACACATTACTCAAACGTTCCATTTCATACAAGTATACGCCTGCTACAGTTCAGTTTAAGATAGACATGCGTTTGTGAGAAGTTCCACTTGGTCTGATCTAGATGCCCACTCTATTGTGCAATAAGAAGTACAATTCTGACGGGGGGGTTTCCATCTGACCCTTGAGCCTCTTCTTGTATTCTTCTTCTTCTTCTTCTTCTTATATTATGAGTTTAATTGCCACGTGTGTATTCAATTTGTCATGAGGATTTTCCCAATGAATCATTTATCAGAAATCTGAAATAGCCATGACTAATCGCATTATTTGATATTTGATCTCAATAGACATTCCTCTTGGGATACCCACTGTGTTTCCCAACTGTTGCTCAAGAGGCATGACTCAACCTGCTCAAAAAGGGTCAACTGAAGCCAAAGCTCTAACATGATAAGCAGAGTGATATACACTACATTCCCAGGTGCTTTAACCTATGGTACGATTACTTGTTGGCAAAAGGGAAACTCCCGTCACTGGACTTTTTTACCCCAATTAAGCAGCTGTTGGAAAGTCCATGTACTTCCAGGCAATGTTAAATAAAATGAAAGAGAAAATATGTCATGCTGTAATAAACATGACCGCTTTGTTCTAATGCACAAATCTATCTTCTGTGTTCTTTAGATGCATAAAATAAATATATGTAAAAAACTAGCATCTGAGGCAGCACAGAATCATGACCGACACACTATTGTTCTAGTTTGTCAGCTGAGAAATGTACAAATTCAGCAATAAACCGATAACTAGGTTGAACAACAGGCTATGAGTAAAACAAAAACATCTATTTTTGGAGGAATATGTGGGATAAGCCTGAAGCATGACTAAAAACTGTCTGCTGTCAGTCTTACTCCTACCCACATTCACACAGAGCGCTTTACTGCTCATGCAAATATCACAGTAGTCAAAAACTCATTCATTTCAAACACTACACTACATTTTCACCGTCCGTCGGCACAAGTCCAGTTTGCTTGGAAATAATTTGCTCAGGTTTTTAAAGGCCTTCCTTTTTTAATGGCATGTATTTTTATCTGGTGCCATGGTTAATCCAATATTTCACAACGTTTCCCAGCTCACTGACTCCCCCCTTATCTTTCAAGCTGACCTAAAAAGGAAACACAGTCTGATTATCTGCCTACATGATGAATGAATAAGCTGTTGTTTGGTTTTGTATTTTCCCACAGAATTCCCCCTGATGACACTGTATCTAATTGTTAAAAGATACAAATATATTCTTGTAGAGCAAAATATGACCTCATACCTGTCCTATCAAGAGTTTCCCTGTAGTTTTGGTTGTTCTAATAAAAGGAAAATATGGTGGATGAAAGACAGCTGGGTAAACAAATTACTCTTTCATTTAGAGCCAACATATGAAAAAGACTTCCTCCTGGTTCAGTATTCAAAACAAGCACCTTATCTTATTAAAGATCTCCTGTTCCCTCTCACTGCATTTGACAAAAACAAAATATGGCCTTCAGTGTGGAACAGTAACAAAATCCCCTTTGATTCATGCGATGAACTGACCCGAAGAGTCTCTGGATCCGAGCAACTCTGAGCGGCTGCCCTGCTCCTGCTGAGCCTCGTGGAAACTGCACTCTACTGCTATGAGCGTCCTGGGATCATCTGTGGAAGTGAAAGAGGAACATTTTAATACTTTGTTTCTTGTATTTGAGATTGACTTGAGAGACATATTTCATAATCCCAATCATTCATGTCATACGGTTGGGATAGTTTATCGTGAAATGCAGTGGTGACTACCTGTAGGTGTTGTGATTATCGGCGTTAATGTTATTGGCTTTTTTATGTCTTCCTTTTTTTTGTTGCTGTTTTTCTTGGCCAAAATGGTGATGAAAAGGATGATGATGATGCTAAACACGCTCAGAACCACAGTGGCGACCACAGACAATGGCCATTCCTGTTCTGCGGGACCTGTCACAAGAAATAGCAAGACATTATTACTGGATTTAGGTAAAAACAACTAAAACGCAAACGACTAGAGAAAAAGAATATCAACCTACCAGGTTTCTTTGAGCTGTCAACGGAAACATTCCCACACGTAATATCAGTAAGTGCATCTCCCTTGGTCACAATATGTTGACACCTTTGAGAAAAATAAAGTTTACATCAGAATTTCATCACATCGGACCGTCAGTGAAGCTGAGAAACATGACAACAAATTGCGGAGATCAGGGTAACAACTCACTCTGTACTCCAGGGTTTACACCTCTGGTGAATTTTGTCATTGAAGGTTCCTTCTGGACATGGTCTGCAAGAACCTGTGCCGAAAATCATTCAGTTGACTTGCCACTCAATATCACCTCTAAATTGAATGTGTATGTGTCATGAGCGTATTTTGACTTACGTTTCTCTGTGGGTTCATGACCTTTGTCGCACTTTTTAACACAAAAGGAACATTTGGCATCCCCACAGGTCAGTCCTTCTTTACAGGCACACTGTGTGTCAGTCGTGGCAGTGCACTCTTTCTCCATGACCTGAGCACCTACATTTTCAAAGATATAGAAAGAGCGTTGAAAGGATTGTTTGTGGAAATGAACGCTTGCAGTAGCTCGTAAAGAAATGTCTGGATCTGCTTACGTACCTACACACTGTGAACACCTCTGACATTGGCGATCTGTAGGTTTCAGTATGTATTTCCCGGCCTCACAGGGAGTACAGAGCCCTTTTAGCTCTGGGCCACATTCTGTGATTAGGTGGTGTCCTAAAGACAAGGGTCAAGGTAAAGGGTTAATTTATTGGTCATTTTATAATGATTGGTTTAAGAATAAAATGTAAATTGTTTCCACGTCAAGCTACACAGACATAAAAGACAAGTATTTTCATAAGAATAGAAGACAAATAGAAAAAATATACTGTATAGATACTTATAAAAACATAAAGAAAATACAGACACAAAAAGCTATAGGCTAGTGTAATCTCTGTTACAGCTGACATCAATTAGATAAGTTGTTTCCATATAGTAAAAGGTGTTCATAACGAGAGCAGGTACACTTTTAAAACCGTTTCTGACATTCTAGTATTTATCACAGATCCAAATTATTAGATTGATCAATTCCTCCTAGCATTTTGTCTTTGTTGTGGTATTAGTTGAAAAACCACTGAAACTATATTTGGTTTCAAGTCACCACCGCAGAGGAGCTGCTGGAATATGAGTTGTTCACATCCACAGACAATAGGTTAACTTTTTATTTTGATACTTTAAACTTTTAAAGCCCAGTATTACCAGTATTATCTCTGCATATAAATGAACTAAATCAATTAATTCACAACCATACAGAATTGTAATGGACATTATCTCTGCTATTACTTACCAGGGTTACAGGCTTCACAGCAAACATCATTTCTTGGTCCTTCGGTCCACTTCATGCAGCCACTGTTCGTCCGCACAGCACTGCACATACAGCCCTGAATGAGCACAGAGGCACCTATAGCCCATAGGATCCATCCCATACTGTCAGCTCTCATAGTCCCCTCAGAACAGACTGTAGGTAATCCAATCCAATAACTATGGCAGCTAACTAACTATTGTTTAAGAAAAAAGAAGATACTTATTCTTCTTTTGTTTCTCTGAATCTGTAGCTTAGGTCTATTTGTGAGTCAGCTCTGTTATGGGTTTGAAAAAGTAATATGCTATGAAGAAATATCTCTGTGCTGTGGCTTTAGCTGACTCACTCTAAGCACTCACTTACTCACAACCAAGCAGCTGAGCATTTATACTCAGGGGGCGTGTCTGAAGTAGGCTGCCCCTGAAATAATATGTTCTATTTGATTCTATTATTTGTTTGATATATTCTATAACGTGGTTAATAATGTGACTTTAAATCAGTTACACGTTAGTTAAAACCTCTACATGTTTAAAACTATAACATGGTTTCAATTCATTTTGATCATTTAAAAAGATAACTTCAGTGAAATTTATTTTCATTTATATTTGAGGATAATTCGAAAGGTCACCACCAGTGTGACTAATAAGCCAGTTAAATTGCCCTGTCATGTTGTTTTAGTCACCTGCTCTAGATCTTAAACTTGCCTAACTTGCCTAACTTCTTGAGTTGTGAAAATGTTTCTCCCTTAGTCATTGAAGGCACCATCAATCATGGAAAGAGGTAGTGGCAGCCGCAGAGCGCGTGGTGAGAGGACCGCCATACAACTCATCATGCTCACACATTCACACGTGGAGTCGCCCGTACTACAAATATGCAGTAGTCAAAAATATTAGAAAAAAACATAGTACTCTACTTGGTTGAACAAAATCACAATATAGCTTATCCAAAAATATCAGAACAAATGAATTGGTGAAAGAGGTGACTTCTTTTTATTTTTGTGGCTGCTTTTAATTGAACTATTCATATCTTAGGCTGCACTGTAACTTTTATCCATGTATTTTTTCTTTTAATGTTTATTTTATTAACTTTTCTTTTTAATGACTGATTTTAAATGCCATTTTCTTAATGTCTTTCATTTTTTGTAAAGCACTTTGAATTGCCTTGTGTTGAAAGGTGCTATATAAATAAACTTGCCTTGCCTTGAGGGGACTTCTTTATTTTTCGCCAAAACTTTACATCTGAAATAACGACACATTTTAAATGATAAGGCTCATCCTGAACCGCGTCATATACTGGGTTCAGAATCCTCTAAATATGGGGACATTTTCTATGTGTAACAATATATCTTGATTGAAGATTACATTCAGTTTCATCAAACAAATCTAGAGAATTGAACGGAAAATAATCTACAATCAAGATATATATAAATATCATTTTTTTCGACTTGCTATACTATGCCTTTTTTGTTCTGAAACCTTCGACATACGACATACACATACTATGTTGTTTTTCCTATATTATATAATTATTTGCGATATTTTTGACATTGTATATCGTTTCAAGTTTTTTTTCAACATGCTATCCTATGTCGTTTCTTATTTTTTCGACATGCTACACTTTACCCTTTTTGGTGAAATTCTGACAATATATTTTTCGTTGTGTTTTGTGATTTTTTGGATATTCTATATAACTTAGTTTATTTTTCTGATATCTTTAGGCTAATAAACATTGACTCTTTTTTAAATACTATGCTAATCTTATAACTATTTATGTGAATGATATTTTATGACAAACTAAACTATGTCTATTTTAACATAATACTTTTTAGAGAATCTCATGCACATTTCTATTAGGGTCAAATAATGTGGTGGTTTGTTTTGGCATATTTGCTATATTTCAGTGGTTACTAAGGTAACCGTTTGAGAAAGAGTTGTTTGTGTATGAGAATATGCTATCTCATTGTGCCTGTTTTAAACTTTAAAGTACTTGTACTTAAAACTTGTAAACATTCAAGCCTCAAATAATGTTAGGTTGCCTGGTTTGTTAAACAAAATCTGATACCATTGTGAGGGGGACTTTCCTGATTGTGGTCCACCATTGTCTCAACAAAAATGAAATCTATGATAGAACCGAAACTAAAGCTAAATAGTGGCTAATAAGCATGGAAACTGAAACCAAAAATGCAGCATTTGTTTACATGCTGCACTTCCTTCAGCTGAGTGGGATATGTTTTTTCTAAACAATTTAATAGTGAATTTCATTTCAAAGGGAAGTGGTATTTCCTTACAGTAAATGTTTGACTTTGGAGAACGGGACATTTGCTGACTAATGATCAGGTGGTAGGTGACAGCATACTACTTCAGTTGTATCTTATCTTATGACTGAGCTTCAGAAAGTACCCCCAAAAAAAGAAGAAAAAAAACCAATACCACAAGACTGCCTGCTTGGTCATGTTTATACATCATAATCATGACACTTGAATGACATTTGGAAAATTTCACCTTTGACATTAATGCTTCTTTCTAAGCCTATCATGGCCCGCCTACTTTAAGGGCATACACATTTGATATAAGCCTGTGACGTCTGAAGTATGTACCTCATTCGCCTACACACCCTTATAGCTAAGAAACACCTCCCACCCTTAACCATCAACCCCCACCTCCCTAAATTCAGCTATGAAGCACAGTAAACCCCAGTAGGTCAATTAACATACTGACTTGGGAAATTCTTTTGAGATGTTCAGTTACTAAAATAGTAATGCTTATTATGCTGCTGGTAAATAAGTGTGTGAGTGTGTGTATTTGCATAACGGCTCAGTGAGAGTCAAACTGCAACCATGTCAATCTGGAAATACTTATTTTACATAATGATCCATATTATAGATGTAATGCGGGCGACACAGATAATTGCGCTCTTGCCTCTTTTTTGGATACTTTTTAGTCTACCTCTGCAGACGAGGGTGTTATTATAAGGCTTTGATATCACTTCCTTCCTGACAAACTTCTTATACAGTAGGACATCCTCTCATGTGGGGGAGTGTGACGTCACCATCGAACAATACATACTTAAGACTGCTGTGGTTGGTGGTCCAGCTGACGGGGGGGCTGTATGGGCTCAAAGTATATTTGAACCTTTTAAGAGTAACGACAGCCCACGGGGAAAGTACACGCAGTAGCGCTGGTGCTCGGAAATTTCCTCTCATGGTGTTAAGTGTTTCAGTGTCACTTCAATATTGTGCGGGTGACACATTGGGTGTTGTGTTCATACCTCTTACAATTAAACAGTACTTTTTACAAAGATGTCTACTCGATAACCTCTGTCCGTTTTGAGAAACTCTCTTGATTTTGAAGGATTATTCTAATTTGGGTTAATAGGAGAAAATTACATACAGTATGTCTCCATCTAGTGGTCCTGCAAAAACAAAAACAAACAGGCGATGGAAAATGCAGACATCATTTTGAACATATATATTTTATTCATATATATAATAAATTTCTATGTACAATTTATTCTTCTTTTGTAAAGAAACAAAATTACAGAGAAAGATTTGATTGCAAACAGTGTTTCATACCATGGGGAAGGAGAGACAAATGGAAAAGTGCTATTAAACTGTGTGTTATTTCCATCTTGTAACTACATTTTAGGTAGAAACAAGAGGGATTTGCCATCGTTTTGCAAGGAGATCAGAGTTTAAAGGCCAGGATTCCCCTAGAAGTCCCTTTGAACTCTTAAATGAGAATCGCCAGATAATAATCATAAAGACGTCATAGACAGCTCGTACAAAATGAAGAAATATCCACCACAACTTGTGATGCTTTGGCATTAATCACACTGACTTTTATCAAAGCTAGCACTCGCTACAAAGGAGACAACCATGATGCTTTCAGCAGATTGGTTTATCTCATGTCAACACTTTTGCTGTGGTGTCCACTGTTTGCAATCCTGTTTTAAGTTGATTAACTTACTTATATGTGTTTAAACCAAAGTGTTAAGAATGTCTGGGTTTAATCACTGACAGGAATAATGATACATTCAACAAAGCACAGCTAGGACAGTAGAAACTGGCCACTGATTCACAAGGGGTGATGTCTGATTGTCTNCGCTTTCTTTAACGAGCCCAGTTGAGCACAGTCATGCAATATGCAGCCTAGGTTAAATACGACGGCTGGGGCTCAGGGCTCCCTTCAAAATGAAGAAAATCGCCACGGGATCTTGAACCTAATCAAGGCCTTTTTAGCAGTTTGGCCGAGGTGCGAAGAACTTACAACGGTGGGGCTAGCTAAGTTTGGAAGCAAACTGGCTCGCAGATCAGCACTTTTTGTTCATTATTTCCGATTGGGGCAATGCTTCTTACACATTCCGTGGATAAGCAATGAATCATCTGAAGTGCCTTTGGGGACAAAAAATCCATAAAAAAAAACATGCTCATCTGCTGGAAGCCGTTGGCTACTCTAAAAAGCCACGACCAATCGCAGCGATCTGAGCCGGCGCGGCCGGGTAGTAAAATAATCTAGATGCCTAGCTCTGGGCCCTGTCAGCCTTCCAGATCTGCCTGCCACAGAACTCCCTATCTCGGTGCGCCTCATTGCGGCTCATGTGCCGCCGGGGTTCCGTGTCGTGTTGGAGGAGGGGCTCGTAAGGACAGTGGCAGATTTGTTCCGGCTGTGTATTTTCAAATTCTAGCGCACTCGAGCTGGTTTCTCCAAAATGACCTACCCCACCTTTAAGTAAGCTTGTGGTAATGCCACAGTACAAAGGAAATGGGGCCAGAGGTTTGGTGTAACGTGCGAAATTTGATCTGTACGCACAGATATGAGTCAGGGGATCAATCTCAAGTTCTAGTACCCGAGAAATGTTCCTACGGGCAGGCTGTAGGTGTCGGCCTGGGTCTGGGGGATTGAGATCCAGGCCCAGCCAGCTTAAAGGTCTTGCAGGACAGAAAATATTCCAGGTAGAGTAAACACTCCCCAGAATGTCTACGTGGCAGCGTTAAAGAATCACCACACTGAATACCACTCACGTTTCACAAACTGTACACGTCACGTCATACAAAAGGGTTTTCAGCCACAGAGGACCCGTGCTTGTGTGAGTGAGAAGCCTTCCCCTGTTGTGTTCTCGCTGCCTGTTTACTTGGACATCAGACGGATAGACAGATATTGGGGGGGAAGGAAGAGGGCCGGTCAGTGTCTACATTCTGAACTTGGAGAGGCAAAGGATTGAGAGGAAAAAGAGCGAAGGGGCAGAGTGGGGTTCAAGGAGAATTGTTTGTTGTGCTCGAGCAGCTTTCAAGGCACTGTCCTGTCACATGATGTCAACAAAGAACTCACAGGGATTGCCCATAGCATGCTGGAAGGACTGGCGGCTGGCGGTAAGCTCAGGAGGAACGGCTGCTAACTCTCTTCCAGGAGGGGCTCCGGGGGGCGTGCTGCTGCTGACGGAGGTTTTGGGGGCCAGACGGGTCAAACAATACGTGGGGGGCAAGCCTGGAGGGCCGTAGGAGGAGGCGTGGCTTCGCTCGCTGTGGGCACACGAGCCGGGCCCTGGCAGTGTGAAGGGGGCGTGGCTGTAGGTGAAGGAGGGGTGGCTGTTCTGAGAGTGAGGCTGACTCCTGTGTGACTGAGTGTGGCTGTGACTGGAGCGGGCGTGGCTGTGACTGGATACGGCGTGGCTGTGAGTGGATACGGCGTGGCTGTGACTGGACACGGCGTGGCTGTGACTGGAGACGGCGTGGCTGTGACTGGACACGGCGTGGCTGTGACTGGACACGGCGTGGCTGTGACTGGACACGGCGTGGCTCTGATGGCTCGTTTGGCTGGCGGACCGATCACCGCGCCTCCCTCCACGGACGCGGGGCTCTGACTCGCTGCATGTTGACCGTTGACCCTTTTCCTGTGGGGAGGAGCGTCTACTTTTGCCTGCGCTGGGGTTGGATCCACTGCTTCGGCTTCCTGTTGAGGAAAATAACACAGGCCTTTTAGCTTGGCTTTGTAAAGTACAAGAACTCCTAACAATAGAAACAGACCTGACCAGATCCTACTCATCCGCTGATTTAGCCCTACATGAGGGCAGAACGTCACACATTAAACAAAATACTGAATGTTAAAAAGCATAATGTAGACTTTATGAGCTGCAAGATGTGCATTAATTCCTTTAAATACATTACTGGACTTTGTTTAAGGTGTGACAAGATATTTTATTATGCAGTCTAGCAAGAGTCGACAGTCAAGGGCAAACATTATCTCAAAGGTTTCCTCCCCAAGTTCCACCAGCAGCAACTTGTACAAAGGGCTTCATTTGATATTCATAAACACTGAAACATTCACAGATTATAAATGTAAACATGATACACCTGCATCAGAAAAACACTACCACAGACAACTTTGGGGAAAATACAAAATAACTTACAGATTGGTTTAAGTTATTCTATCCACATTGTCAATTGTGGCTATATCTAGGTCAGTGTCTGCACACTGGTGGCATCATACTGATAGAGGTGTATCACGCTGTTGCAAAATTAACCACTCCACGCGTCCCCTTCCGCAATGAGCCCAACAGTACTGGGTAAAGTGGTGCATGATCGCCCCCTATCAGTGGGAATGATAGCACAAGCCTCGGAGTGATCATCCTGCATCATGCACCTCCCAGCACAGAACCAACGCATGCCCAGAGGTGCAGAGGGAGAACGGACCGTCAGGAGAGCCACACACACAGAACACACACGGACAAAGAAGGACGCATGGGACGGACGGAGGAAAAAAAAAAAACCTTAAAGCCACAGTATGATAGGTGGAGAATGTTGAGCACAAGAGAAGGAGAGGAGGAATATAATAAGATGAAAGGATTAATGGTCAGATAGAGAGGGCGAACAAGAAAGAGAGCAGCACAGGAGGAGAGGGGGTTAGCAGGCTTACCGGTTCCCCCAGTGTCCTGGGACTACCTCCTCCTTCAGTCTACCGTTGCCCAGCAGAAACAGAGGGAACAACATAATTACACACACCTCCCGCACTAGCTAATGTGCCCTACTACTGTACTGGTCCGCATGATCATGATGAATGGTCGTTATCATCCACACTTAGGGCTACTCGATTACGGCAAAAATCATAATCTCGATTATTTGGGTCAATAATTGTAATTGCGATTATTAAATGCGATTATTCATTGACTTTGAAAACATCCATTTATTGGAAAAAAAAAATTTGAACAGTATGTTTTTAACAGTTGATTAACCTGAACTTTAAGTATAATTCAACTGAAAAACCCAAAAATATATATAAATGAAAAAAAAAAAATAATAATAATAATAAAAAAATAATCGTTTTATTTCGATTACGTTGTTTTCGTAATCGTTGCAAGCCATAATCGTAATCGCGATTAAAATACGATTAAAATACGATTAATTGAGCAGCCCTATCCACACTCATGTCTGTTTTTGGGTCTTATTTTGTCCTCAATCCTCAAGTTGTGGAGAAACTGCTCCTCAAAAATAAAAAAAAGCACACGTGCACTTATTCAAACAAGCAGCTATATTTACCCATGAACACTTGTTTGTGTGCCAAAAGAAACAAAACTACATCAAAAATACATTAAGTGAAAATGATTGTCTTTATCATCTCTGTCCCTACATATGAACCAAATAAAAGAGTGTGAACCGGCGGAAGGCAAGACATGATGATGTCTGATGAATCACTCAAAACAATGAAACATAAACGAACGGTGACATGGAACTTCCACTTATCTGGCCACTACGAGCCACCCATTTATGTACAATCTCTGTTCCTCCTCTCTCCCTCAATGCGGTTATCAAAAACCATGCAGAAGCAACACAAAGCACTGTCACGTTCTGATTCAAAATGAACACAAAAGATCATTCGAGAGCTGATGAAGAGCGATGGGCTCGGTGTTGATCATTCAAGCTGGCGACTTGTAATCACATGGTTGATCAGATTCTTTTTTTGTGTACACACCCAGTACTGCAGAGCTGTCCGCTGCATGACTCAAGATGCTCATGATTGACCTTGACAATACAGGACGCGTTTTAGAATACACATATTTCATTAATAAAGATGCAATGTCAACTTCCTGCCCAAGAAAGGCCGAAAAGCTAAAATTAGCAGACAGTTGTTAATACTGACATTTATCAGGAATACTTAAGGATAATGTCATGTTGCATGTTGAGTCAAATGATCACAGGAATGAATGAATTAAAGCCATGTGTTGCCTTCTCCTCTTCATCGCTTACCCTCGCTGGGCTGGCTGCCTGCGCTCCCACTTTGGAAACTGTGGCATGGGTCCGAGTATCCTGGTGGGAAGCTGGGGGGTGCGGAGGGAAAGGGAGGGTAGGGGAATGGCTGCCCGCCCAGGGGCCAGGGGTTGGTTGTGGGGGGTAGCGGTGCCAGAGTGTCCTGCTCAGAGCCTCCGCCGCTCGATGCCTCGTTTAAATTGAGTGACGCCATGTCTTATTGGAGAGAAAACAGAACCATAAAGGAAAATGTTTAGTACAATCCTTCTTTTCACAAAAAGCAATTAATAATTCAGCTTTATTTATATAGCACTTTTCATACAACACATGCAGCTCAAAGTGCTCTACAAAATGACACATCACAAGTTAAGAATAAACAACAACACATTCCCCTCAGATTATTTGTTAAGAACTTTAAAAGGTGCAAAATATAACATGTGATCAGGTTAATAGACTCAAGGAGGTGAAATGTATGATAATAACAATTAAATAAATAATGGTTTCTCTCTGACGGATAAGACTCAAGTCAAAACCCCATAAAACAAAGTGAACATATACAGTAGGTACAACAGAAAAAAGATTAAGACCTATAAAATAAATAAAACAATATAAAGGTAGGTAAATAATAAAGACTAAGAGAACATTTAAAGTGGGGGTTTGCTAATAAAAAGCTAATCTAAAAAGTATTCGTTTAAAAATGACAATTTCAGTCAGAAGTCTCATTATTGACACAGTAAAGGAAGGGTCTGTAAAAGAAGGGTCTGTACTTTGGCAGACGTCGCCGAAGGTATAGTAGCATTGCTCGGAGAAGGTGATCTTGTTGACCGTGTGTCTCAGGTAGCCATGTTTCAGCAGACTGCTCGCGTACTTCCTCGCATCCCGCCTGTCCTTAAATCCTTCAACTCTGGAGTAAAGCCAGTCCACCACGTCGGCACCTGACACACACACACACACACACACACACACACACACACACACACACACACACACACACACACACACACACACACACACACACACACATGAAGGTTCCTGCTCTAATGTGTTGAACAGATGCAAAAAATACTCAATATGCATAACAGTCACAGTGGCTACACTAAGAGAAGCAGCACAATGTTGCAAGAACTTTGAAGAAAGTTGGTCTAGATATAATGCTACAATTGTGCAAATTGTGGAGTTTATTCAAGGCAATTTTATGGAAAGAAAAACAAACTAAAACTGTTGGGGAAATATGTTCCAAGGCCCATAACTTTGACCCAGTTTATCTGTTTGCCCTTGCTGAGCACAGCTGCCCTCTCAGTGTTTTGTCTTCCTATTCCTGCCTGTTGGCGTCAGCTGATAGAGGTGTTATGGTTTATCTTGTTATGCACAATGTTGATTATTCTCTCACAACTAGCTAAATACATGGGTTTGGGGTAGAGATCTTCAGAATTGGTTTGGCATCCGCTGTGTCAACCCGTGGCACACGACATGTCTTGTGAATTCTCCGGCCAAAGCTCCATGTAAACCATCAGTTTACCATCAAACTTCCTGTCTCCATTGCTTCAGAAGTTTCTATCACAAAAACTGATATGTTACTTCTTGTATATAGAAACAAAAAACACTAAAAAGATGACAACTTGATGGATTTAAGAAAATGTCGTTGTGATTCCAGATTAAATCCATTTTAGAATTCCTGTTTCATTGTTAAATTTGTAATTGAACTTTGTGGAAAAGAAGGGACATCTTTTTTTAGGGGGCATTACTCCACATAGACAGTATCAATGTTCAGAGCAGTATGCATACAAGGCTGGTCTGTGTATTTCTCCAAAGTACATGCATTATTTAGAGTAAAAGCTCCACCACATAGTCTACAGGAATCGAAGGTCTGCTCTCAGTCGTGTGAGTAACCACATAGCTCAGCTTTTCTCACCAATGACGGCATTGGCGATGGTGATCTTCAACCACATCCTGTCTCGAATCTCCAGCCCGGAGTCAGGCAGCTGCATCACCTTGACGATGGTTGCCATGTCTGTTTTACTTGCAGATAAAGGCAAGTCATCGAACTCTGGGGTGGGAGAGGAGGGAGAAACTATTGACAATTGGATCTTTTTTATTGTTTAAATGATGTAATGTTATTATAATTACCACAAAACGGATGCTTCATAGAGTGTGATGGAGGTGGTGGTTGGTTGTTTTTACCATAGTGAGGGTACGGTCCTGTCAGAGCCGTGGTGTGTGAGATCCAGGCTGCTGGGTCAATGGGTCTAACAGGCTCCGCTGAACAAAATAAACAATAGACAACTTTAATAAAAGACACATTTGAAGTCCGTGATTGTGATTGTGATCGTGAGATAGTACGAGTGTCCGTCTTACCACGAGGGATGGTGAAGTAGCTTCGTGGAGACGGGTCCCAACATTTGGCAACAGTAAGACTAATAGGACTGCAGGAGAAAAAGGAAAAACAGTTTGAAAATAATAATAAATAATAAATATGTTAAAGACCTGAGAAACTGAAGTTCATTTTAGCCAATACAACAGAGTTCTGTTTCTTTCATCAGCTCGAAGATCAAGTCAGTGTATTTTCAGTGGAGAGGCTTAACGCAGGTCACCATAAGTCACGAAATGACACCACACACTAATCTGCATATTCCTACTGTAGAGTATTAGTGTGTACAGTATTGTGCATGGCTCTAAACTCAAATAACAGGCATCAGAACGAGGCAGAAAAGTAGCTAATACCAGCTCCAAAAGTCACTAATCTCTTCTTTTTTTTATTGAAAAAGTCACAAAGCGTGTTTGATAGGTCACTGAAAGTAGCAACAAACATTCAGTTTTGGCAACAATGGATAAACTGATCACGCTTTTATTTGACAGTCATCCTTTTTCTCAATAGGGTTTTCTTTTCTAAATTCTTTAAATCTCCAAAGAGCACCATCTCAGATGAACTTATTATTATAAAGAGCCATATTAGCTAGAATCCACTTCAAGACACTGGAACTAGCGTACCATGCTGCGAATGGATCTGGCCCTTCCTACATCCAGGACATGGTTAAACTATACACCCCAGCACGTGCACTCCGCTCTGCGAGGGGGACCCAAGTTCCCATCAGCAAAAACACGCGGGTTTGCTATCCTGGCTCCAAAATGGTGGAATGAGCTCGTCCCCATTGAAATCAGGACAGCAGAAAGCTTACACATCTTCCGGCGCAGACTGAAAACTCATCTCTTTAGACTCCACTTCGAGCGATAGAATTATTAACAAAGCACTTATACAGTACACTAATAAAGGGCTGGCTTATCTAAAACCAGTTGAGTAGCACTTGAAATGTTTTAGCTCTATGAAACCTGATACTTATATGATTCTGTTTTTCTTCAAGTTTGTATTTTGTTGGTCGAACGCACTTATTGTAAGTCGCTTTGGATAAAAGTGTCAGCTAAATGCAATGTAATGTAATATTAAACCATACATACATGAAATGATTCTCTCAATTTGATTATATTCTGCAGCACTAAGTTACATAATCAAAACGCTCTGACTGTGTGCTCTTACCCAGTTTTGGAAACAATCTCTCGGAGGATCCTCACCGCGTCGTCATTGCTCATGTTCTCGAAGTTTACGTCATTGACCTGTCAAGCAGACACAACATACATTCTTTCCTCATTACATTAGAATATAATGTTTCTCTGTGACTGAAAGGGCTCAAATGTATTCATGCATTTGAACTGTGCACATTAATCCCTGCAGTGCTCTTAGGCCTTTAGATGCCTACAAATCGTAAGCTGCTTATTATGGGATACAGATTCATAATCATAATTTATTATAAATGTTGGGGCAACAACAATTCGTACTGAGCCATCGGGTGTTTTATAGAGGGTGTAGCTGTGGAGCTTAAAGAGAGGCCTTAATAGGGAGGAAAAGCCTCGTAACAGAAGTGAATGCAACATTGTGATTTTTAACAGGCCACAAAACCTTGAAAAGTCATGTGTGGTGTTTAGCTTTCACACTGTACAAACGGCAGCAGCAGAGGTGCTTTCATTACACCAGAAACTCTGGTATTGACCACAAAAATGTAAGGAAATTCCAGATGTGTGATGGTATTTTGTTAAACTGGAGCTATCGGTTACCTGGAGCAGCATGTCTCCAGGCTCTATTCTCCCGTCAGCAGCCACAGCGCCTCCTTTCATGATGGAGCCGATGTAGATGCCGCCGTCTCCCCGGTCATTACTCTGACCGACAATACTGATACCTAAGAAGTTGTATTTCTCTGTCAGGGAGAAAGAAAGGATTTATTAGATTCATTTAAATATTTGTTGGGATGTAACAAATAAGTTAAAAGTGAAAAAGTGAAAAAAAAAAAAACAGAAAATACATTATTATTGTGATGTTTGAACATACATACTGTATCTATAATTATAATAACAGTGTTGAGACAATTCAAAGAGCTTTTAACTAAGCCCACACTCCCAAAAAATGAACGATAGTTATTGAAGTGTCAGGTTTACCCATGTTGAGCGTGACGGTGATGATGTTGAGGCTCATAGTGGAGTCTGTGATACTGCTGAAGGACGAAGACTGGAAAGGCAGAAGAGGATCACATAAGAAGAGCACATCAGAAATAATCAAAGTGGCATAAAGTCTATATCAATTTGCTTTCTCATCTGTTTCCCACACTCAATGTCAATTTGAGTTTGATCAGGGGTAGTGATGTGTCTCAGAAGTGCTCACCCGATCTATTTTGGCCACTTTGTGTCTTCGTCGGCGGCGCTTGTGTCGGCGCATCAGCTGTGAAGAAGAACTCTGTTCTGTGGAGCTACTGAGCCTGAGACACAGAAGCAGAGGAGAAGTATTGGAGAGGGAAAGGAAAGTGGACAAAGAATAGGACATTACAGAAGTTAACGGACACTATTACAACCTTTTTGTCTGCAGTGAAAACGATGAGGTAGACAAGTGACAGAAAAATACAACAGCTCTTTAAATGAACAACAATGCAAATCAATTGTCCCTTTGTTAGCTGACGTTAGTAGGGCTGTTAGGCCTTTACCCTTTGCATGTAGCATCAACAACACAGCATCTGTAAGTTCATGATGTTACCTTTGTCATTATAAACGCTGTCATTTAGTCCTAACTTAATATGACTCACTTCTGTAGCTGATTATTACTTAAAGTATATTACTGGTGGATCAACCACGACTAGTGCTAAACGATTAGTTGGTTAATCAATAAGTTGAAATCAAATGAATCAGCAAGTATTTTGATAATGATAATTATTAAGCTTTTTATCAAGCCCAAAAAAAGCTAAACATTTGCCATTCCAAATTCACAAATGTTGGGGTTTTTCTGCACTGTGTGTGTTTGGTATCTTTGCTAATAGATTATTTAGATAAATAAGATTGTTGGGCAGGTGAAACAAGCAACATGAAAATGTGACATATTTCACATATTATGACATTTTGTGATTCATCAATAATAAACAATAGATTATTGATGATACAAATAAGGGTAAGTTTCATGTCTAACCACAACTAATAAAATATCATTGTGAATAAACACCTCAGGAAGAAGAGATGAGGGAAAAAACAAACATTATAAGCTTCACAGAAACAGCATTTACTGCATATGTATTGTATTGTTTTTACTACTTTTATGAAAAACAATACAGTTTCAGAGACAAACACTTTGATGTGAGGTGGTTGTTACCTGCTGGCATCTTCGTCTTCCTCACTATCCACGAATGAGCTGGACTCCAGCTCGCTGCTCATTACTGAGGCGCTGTCGTAACCCATGGCCGAGTCCCTCGCAGTGCGCTCTGATTTCGAGTGACCGTTGATTCGAGGGACTGGAGAGAGAGAGAGCAGAGCAGCAGTGAGTATGACGGGAGGTCACGGTGCTATCGAAGGATCAGATCAGCAAGAGAGGGAGGAGAGGAAGTGAGAGTGGTGGAACTGGAAATAAATCTGAGCCAAGGACAGAAACATCAGCAGTCATTTCATCTTCAATACCTGTGGATAAAATGTAAGCATTATTGAACATATAAGCTACAAAACCGAACTAACAGTAGAGTACAAGAAAGGGAATGGAATACAGCATCAATAACTATTGGCTACAGCATCGGGCTGAACTGAATACTTTGTAATGGCATTTTTGCACATCTGCAGATAAAGATTAGGCTACAATAATATATATGTATATCGAGTATATAGAGGTGATAGAGTTATTATATCAAAATGTAATGAATAAAAGATAGATGTCAACAATGTCCAACATTTTTTATCAAATTAGATACTTATTTTTTTGCATTTTTTTGCATTTAGTTTTTCAAAAACAAAATATTTACTTAAGTCAAAGTTTAAAGTTTGCTCTCCTGCTTGCTGCACGTAAGGAAGGTATGCATCTGTATTAATGGATGGAGTAGCAGCAACATAAAGGATGTTTAAATAACCAAATTAAACAAATATATTGTTCTTTAAAAAGGTGATGACATCCTTAAATATGACAACAAACATTGGAGGTTTACTTTTGAAAACCTCATAGAAGCTCTGAATGAAAAAAAAAAAAGTCCGTTGGTCAAGCCCTGCTAAAGTAAACTAGTCAAAGTGATTCATACAAAGTTGAAAATTAAATTAAAACGAGCGACTTGGTATTGACTTACTGCACTTTCAAAATTCCCAGCAGTGTAAATCTAGCCTGCCCATCTCCTTACGTACATAGCCAGCGCCGTGGAGCTGTCTCAGGGTGGCAGCGGATTCGCTGGAAAGGTCTCACAAGGCGGAGAGAGAGAGGGCGTGGCAGCCAGCGCATTCGCCGAGAGCAAGCAAAACATTCCAGCAATGTGAGAGTTCCCATCGCCAGCTCCGACCAGGTGGTGCTTCTCTGAAAGCCGAGCCACTGCACAGAAGCACTCAATCAGCAGGACATGACATCCACTGTCAGGATTCACACGACCATATTTCCTCCCACGCACAAAGGACTGAGAGAAGAAAACAGGAGGGCAGGTTCACCAAGCCAGACTGAAACCTGTGTCTTTGTGCTCTGCTCCGTCTGTGCTCGCCTCTCTCTAAAAGCCCCAGACGCTCTCTGCCCCCCGGCTGGCTGCTCACAGGCTGCACAGCTGATCTACAATAGAGGCAGTGAACAGGGAAGAATCACAGAGGTGCTCTGCGAAGAATGTTAGGTAAGAAAACTAGAAAAAGTAGAAAAGTAGGCGAGCCTTTTATGTATTACTTTGGGCACACATTAATCGTGAGCTTTTCTAAAGTTGTGATTATTGTTTACTTTTTATTCACGGCATAAATCAATATAATGCACTCAGCAGATAGTAAATATGTAAAGTAAGAACATATAACTAAGTAGTGTGGGTTAACATTACATAAACAACATCAGTCTATAAAAGCTCAAAACAACAATTCATCCCTCTCCCTACTGAAAAACAAGAGCCTTCATCATTTACTTTCCAATATCCCAATGTAACGATAGAAAATAACCTGCTATAAACTAACCACTAAATCAAATTACATGTATCCTATAACATCATTAAATTCCATATATCATCAACAGCCTTAACACAACAAATCCCCCTCACCACAGCCGACAGAGCCTTTATCCGTCGGACGCACAGAGAAGCCGAGAGTCAGGAGAAAGTGTTGCCTCCTCCCTCGCTCTCACGGCACGCAACTATACAATGACTGCTAATCTGTCTACGACCAATCAGATGATGCTATTCTGCCGGACAGGGATAATAAGGGATTTGAGAGGATGTGCTGTCCCATCTCTGCCCCAGGTGAAAACACCATCAGGTTATTAAAATGCCAAATGCTCTGAGCAGCATTGCTTCACAAACAATTATTTGAGGGTGCTTTTGATAAAGGGGGCAGATTCACCAGCTGTTTTTGCGCTCTGGGTTAATACTTTAATATAAGCATAAGTGCTTTGGCTTAGCAATGTTCTCTTTGACCTTAAGCTTGAAATCCCAGCAGCACTGAACAGAATTACACTTAATGCAATGGATATGTTTTTCTTTTTCAGGGTATTAATGTTCTCTTTTACATAATCACTGATCATCAGGTCTTGTCTCACACAGGTTGAAATGCAGAGCACCTGGCGGCGTTGAAACCGATCATATCCCATAACTCCATCCTACACCTGTTCACCCTCCAAAGATGTTCAACTGCTGCATTATTTATCTACACTCATTCTGAAACAGCAGGCAAAAAATAAAAAGGGATATGTTTACCAGGGCAGAGCACTTTACCTGATCACTGTCAAACCGCTAGCATTCACGAAGAGAAAACATCCCTTGAAGCGAGTGTATAAGGTAACGGGGGAATTCCTGCTGATGCTGCAGGCTGCGAGGTAAAGAGGTGGAGCTACCGCCTCCTTCTGCAGATCCAGGTCATGTGACTATGACAGCAACCGGGGAGCTAACATAGCTAAATTAAAGAATAATATATGGTGCTGTTTGCTAGATGTATGACCAGGGGTGCATATCACTTTTTTATTGAGTTACTCAGATGAGTACCAGGAGACTCACCCCACATGAAGCGTGGTGTTAATAAGTGCAGTCTTCCTCACTGTCCTCCTCAGTGTCTCCTTCACTGTCCTCTATATACACTTTTTGCATGCTAGATGATGAAGATGATGATGATGCACCTCCCTGTCTCTTTTTAAGCCTCCGATTTGCTTTCTCCAAAACTTGTTGCCAAAAATGTGAAGTCCTTGCATTTCCTCAGGCCAAGTTGAAGGATCAAATACTAAGGAATTATCACATGACTTCATATCTGATTTCAGAGGTGGGAAGTAACAATGTACACTTATTCAAGTACTGTACTTAAGTACAATTTAAGATACTTGTAGTTTACTTGGGTATTTCTATTTTATGCTACTTTGTACTTCTACTCCACTACAGTTCAGAGGTACATGGTGTACTTGTACTACATGTATTTAATACCTTTAGTTACTTCACAGATGTGGATGAATGATGTGAAATATAATCAAGTGTTAAATCAGACTTTAGTTCCACCTGGAGTAAATTCACAAGCTACCCTGCAGTATACAAAGTCATTCAAACTAGCTGCACCTTTACCAGCTTTGAGAACACTTTCATGATCAATCATTTTAAAACATATCATATATATTATTCTGAAATGGACCAATCTGCACAATGACTACTTTTACTGTCGCTACTTTCACTATATTTTGATGATAATACTTTCTACTTTTACTTGAGTAACACTTCTTCCACCTCTGTCTGATTTCAAACTCTTCCATTAACANCAGCCGACACCTGACAAAAACACTTAGAAATCGAGGGGGAAACAAGCGTTGGAAGACGATATACTGTCAGACGTTGGAGGGGAGGGTGCAGGGGCGGCGTGTATGGTGGCATAATTCTTACCACAGTATTACCCGCAACGGGGTACTAAAGGTTGACAACAAAGCAGAGGCGATTACCAGGGGGGGGGAAACACGACACGACAAGTACCACTTACTACTGAACGATATGGGTAACAAGTGTTCATAACACAGAACTTCATGTTATACTGCTCACATGTACAGGAGAACGAACTTCATACGGGTAAGAATACATATAACATGAAGATGTATCAAGTTATACATAGGTATTATGGTGTTTAGATAGACCCTTATGAAAGAAACAATGAAACGCGTCTAACAGGTCACGTCTCAACACATAAGATATAGATACAACAGATTACTAGTCTGAAATCAAGTTGCGGCCGGGGGATCTTCTTAAGATAGATTTCCGTATTCGGACGTCGATATGTTTTACAGTAAGTTATGAATAACCGCGCCGTGGAAACTCGCCGCGCACGGAGCGTGTGCTCCATAACTAGTAGTTTAGACTGAGGTTTGTTAGTATAATAAGACTTTACCACTGGATTTAGAGCGGGTGTATACTGTTGATTGAAGAATGACAGCGATGAAAAGGCTATGGTATTATCAAGCCCTACATTATGAATGGATGATACTGAATGCTCGGTAGTACGTAAAACTTATATACTGAAATACTGAAACATTGTCGTACCATAACCTGACATAAGAGATGTGACTACCATATCAGAGATGACACCTTCTCGACCTATTTTATGAAGAGGGTGAAATACACGGCCATATGACATACAATTTCTTCGGCTTCATCCTCAGCATTTCTGACCTATTTTCGCGATATATTTACGTCAGCGTAATTCTCATAATTTTGGTACATCTCGTAGTCGTTATCGTGAGTCCTGTCCGTGTAGGTAGTTGTTATGCCTCCGTACAAGGGACCTCTACAACACACGTCCGGAGACGAACGCTAACCACCGAGGGGACCCAGATCGGAGTGGGCGACCCCTTTGCTAGGAGCCAGGACTCTCCTCGCTCTTCCCTTCCGCTCAGCGCCTGCCAATGTAAGGTAGCTTGCCGGTACCAACAATGTTTTATGGACCCATAATAGTGATTATGATTTAAGTTAAGTTTTGCCATAATCATGTCTTTTTCCATAATCAGGTAGCTGAACAACATTGGTAAAAAATGTAGACATTATATATATATATATATATATTTCTATTAATCATTTTCGGCCTTTCGGCATTCGGTTTTCGGCCAACTGTTTCCTATTTTCGGTATCGGTTTCGGCCAAGAATTTCCCATTCGGTGCACCCCTAATAATGATCATATGAAGGTGTGCCGCGGAAATCATCTTTTACATAATAATTGCATTCACTGAACACGGGAAATTACAATCCTGCCGTCCTCTCTAGAGTGTCATGATGAGGTTCAGGTAAAGCACGGTTAATGTATTATATTCAGGGGTGCACATAACCTTTTGAGTGAGTTACTCAGATGAGTACCAGGAGACAGCGTTTGGTACTCACCCCACACGAAGCGTGGTCCTCCTCAGTGTCTCCTTCACTGTCCTCTATTTACACTTTTGCATGCTAGATGATGAAGATGATGAAGATGCACCTCCCTGTCTCTTTTTAAGCCTCCGATTTGCTTTCTCCAAAACTTGTTGCCAAAACTGTGAAGTCCTTGCATTTCCTCAGGCTAAGTTGAAGGATCAAATACTATGAAATGATCACATGACTTGAAGTCATAACTGATTTCAGATGTGGGAAGTTACTAAGTACACTTATTCAAGTACTGTACTTAAGTACAATTTTGAGATATTTGTACTTTACTTGACTTTGATGCTACTTTGTACTTCTACTCCACTACAGTTCAGAGGTATATGGTGTGCTATTACTACATTAAATGTATTTAATCCCTTTAGTCACTTCACAGATGTGGATGAATGATGTGAAATATAATCAAGTGTTAAATCAGACTTTAGTTCCACCTGGAGTAAATTCACAAGCTACCCTGCAGTATACAAAGTCATTCAAACTAGCTGCACCTTTACCAGCTTTGAGAACACTTTAATGATCAATCATTAGAAAACATATCATATATATTATTCTGAAATGGACCAATCTGCAGCATGACTTCTTTCACTGTCGCTACTTTCACTATTTGTTGATAATACTTTTCTAATTTTACTTGAGTAACATTTTGAATGCAGGATTTTTACTCTAACAGAGCATTATTCCTACACAAGATCTGAGTACTTCTTCCACCTCTGTCTGATTTCAAACTCTTCCATTAACACCCTGAGTAAGTTTGCAACTGTGTGTTTTTACTCCACTTTGTTGTAAATAAAACTGCAGCAGCTTGACCACAGAGTGTGAATGTTGTGATCAGCTGATTTTGCGCAATTCTCCAGTGTGTGCGCGGGGCACAGAATGTGCACAGGGAGTCTCCCACTGCAGCAAGTTGGCGGAGCTTTGGCACAATTCTGTTGTTCATACCAAGATTAACCCTGTCTGTGCACACGGTGAACAACTCTGTCTTCCAGTGATCTAAGCCTCTGCCTCCTGTAAAGCTTCACAGGTCCGTCGGTTATCCCAGCTAGAAATGTTTGGTTCTAACCAATTCTGAGAATGTTACCATTCATTGTTCTAGGAACGTTTTCAGCCGGAAGTTTTCTTTTGGTTCCCAGAATGTTCTTCTGAAAGGTAGGATAACGTTCTCTAAAAACATTCTTAAAATGTTTGGTGATAACCTTCTTAAGATGTTTTTGATAACCTTCTTAAGATGTTTTTGATAAAATTGTTTGAACATTATGCCCTACTTTTCTTAAAACGTTTTCAGCGTGAAGTTTTATTTTGGTTCCCAGAATGTTCTTCTGAAAGGTAGTATAACTTTCTCTAAAAACATNCGGCAAAGTGGCTTTGGGACCACTTACATCCACTGAGTTGACGAAGAAACCGTGTAGGACCGAAATATGTGTTTGTTTTGATGACCTATCAGAGCAAAGCGCGTAGTGACACAAGTGACGGTACTGCATTTCAGAGTTTGCCGCGCACATGCGTACCTGCGTACCCAGTTATGTGCACCCCTGTGGTATGACCCATGAAACTGGCCAGTGACCCACCCCATTCCCCCTAGTTCACTTCATTAGAGCGGAACAAGTGTAGCAGGCGAGGAGAGCCAGGCCGAGGAAACAGAGAAAGAAAGAATGTGTGTGTGTGTGTGTGTGTGTGTGTGTGTGTGTGTGTGTGTGTGTGTGTGTGTGATCATTCGGTAATGCTTTTCTGTCGTCTGTATGATAGTGTCAGATGTGTGTTGGGGTCAGTCCACACAGAGAGGAGGATGGAGGACAGACGCAGAGTTCATCAAGCTGAAGGTATTTCCACATCAGCCACAAACAGCAGATGTGCAGTTGGCAGTGAGCAGCAGTGGATCTGAGCTTTAGCCAAGTCAAAAACATGACGACAAGATGCAAAAGTGTGATGCGATGGATTAGTTGATGATCAAGTTGATGTTTTTCCAGCATCCAAGACAGCTTTTCCTAAAATCTCAATCTGATGCAGTCCTCTGTGAGACTAATGGCATAATGAATGCGCCAGGAAGCGTGCAGTAAAGGGTTGAGACCGAGAGACAACTGGCTATGCTGTGAGGGAAAACAACAGCAGACTGCCAGCATCATACGCTGCTGATTTATTACTTCCTGCAATCAAAAAAAACTAATTCTGCCAAGATGTTTGTGTGGCAACAACAGGAAGCGGATATGGCAAATTATCGCAGGTATGATTATGCTGATAACAGAACACACCTTTTACTGCAGCACCAGCATACTCTGCCATGTGCAGTCATGTGATGCTGCCTGGCAGGATTTTGTAAAGGAAGGCAGTTATTTCGCAGGCGTAGGAAGAAAGCTAAATTATTTTGATAAGAAATTGCTGCAATCAAATGTCAAAACAAGCAAGCAGATCACATTCGATTACAGTTCTCGGGATCCTTAGTATTTCTTTCTAGAATTCATTTTCTACGTAGAAAGTTTATGTTTTATATTCTGTATGAAAATCATTGAGCCTGTGTAGGAGGGCAGTCATTTCGTAGGAGCAGGAAGAAAACTGTCCTTCTCTTCAAAAAAAAGGATTTTGAAAGGAAATTGGTGCAATCAAATGTCAAAACAAGAAAGCAGTTCACATTTGATTACAGTTCTCGGGGGCTTTTAAAAGCAAGAACCTTAGCATTTCCTTCAAGAATTCCTTTCTCTAGGTAGACAGTTTATGGTATCCATTTATATCTCATCAATCACAGCAGAAGCCTTTCCGGTGATATTTCACAAAACACTAGAGTTCTTCGACAGGGTATAGTTAGTGAACATGATTGGAGTTTGACTACTTGGTGGAAAATAGCCTCTGACCATAAACCTGAGCCACACACAGGAAACAGGAGAAGGACAATCATTCGGAAAGACAGTGAGCTCCAGATATGTTGACATTCAGTGAACTTATTAATTCCTTGCTATGCTGAGAATTAGGGTATCTATTCATGGCCTCACATAGCTGAAGTTCAATACACACCATTTGATCCCTGAGGGCCTTTTTTCATACATATCGATAGTCTGTCCAATTTGTTTTAAAGACAGTTAGGTGTCGAGTTAAGGGCACTGAAATGTTATAATTCCAAAATGACAAGATAATTGCATTTTTAGGATCCGTCTGTTCTTGGCTGATAATACTCACGCTCAGTTTCTCTCGCTCTCCTGCGAGCGCGCTCCCTCTCTCTCTCTCTGCGGTGGCTCAGGAGAGACTCCGTTCCCGTCTCGGTGTCCAGGCCGTCTCGACTGCTCACCGCGTTGGCACTGCAAGACACACATTGGAAAACTTCAGTCAGATTCATATTCAAAACACACATCCCCTCCCTCACAGAAAGTATTCAAAATGAATGATTTCTAGCCGGCCTGTGACCAAGGCTCCTGAACATAATCCCCACACAGTACAGTATACTTCTGTCTGTAACAATATCTGTATGCCTGCCATTCAGCCTCAGGGGAGTATGCAACTCATATTATGACTCTGTTTCAAATCCAATCCCTGTGGCCAAAGTAGCAGTTCCATTGTTGTGCGGTATGTGATGTGTTTTTTACTAAGTGTCACTAATGACCAGACCCCCTGAGAGGGAGCCACTCTTGACAATACTGGCATTAATGAGACCTATTGAAAGCCCAGATGGTGCCTGAAGCATGATTGGGAGAGAGACGAGAGAGAGAGAGGGGAGAATGACAGATTGTATAAAAAAGCGATAAGTGGTAGCTCAGGTGTGGGCTGAGCAATGAGCTGGCCCGTGTACTTGGGGTCTGGGAGGAGCCTGGGGGTTCTGAAGGGGCTCGAGGGCAGATTGTTATTCTGTCGGTGGGCTGGAGACGCTGTGGCCTCAGGCTCCGGGGTTAAGGGACCCACGCAGCAGCTAGGAAACCTGAAGCTGGTGAGAACTCTACTCTACCCTGTCAGTCTGTCACACACAGTTAGGCATGTGTACAACACGTACTTTACACCTGCATAACATTTTTTACTTTCATGCAGGCGCGCTCATGCATTCATGCACGCTCAAATGGCATATACAAACTGTTTCATGTTCACAGTGTGCAAACAGAAAAATAGAGACACAAACATCACCCTGCAGCAATTTAGAAGCAATGTCAACTCCACACTTTGGTGGCTCTTTGTGGACGATCAATGCAAATCAAAAACACAAGAGGAGACAAGATGCTGAGTGTGCCGTGTTCACTCGGCGGGGTAAAGTGCTCGATGAGGCGTGCGTACACGCTCCTGCTACAGCGGGCTAATGGGTGCACCTGGGCCAGGCTCTACCAGCACAGGTCGGTGCATGTATGCAAATATCCCTGTAGGTTCATAGTTTGGATGCACTTGTGGTGATCGGACAGCGCTGTAAGTATAGATGTGGCGGTGACTGCCTGTCTGTCAGACTGTCAAAGGCTGCAGGGCGGCAGGTCTGCTGATCTGGGGGGGGATTATCCAAGGCGCTAGGCTGCAGCTGTGAACAAATGCCACCCCTTTCAACTCCCCCCCACCCAACAGGCCCCTTCTCTGCTGCCAATTGCCACCCCCTCCCTCTGGGGAAATGGAGATGGGTGCTTTTAATGTCCGTTAATCCGGATTACCAGGCAGTAGCACATCAGTTGGGTGCATTCTCCGGCCAAAACACCTATTCTGCACACTCATCAAATAGAGCCATTCACGCAGACAAACACATGAGATGCATGAATAAAGCACAAGAGAAAATGAAGTGGTAATAATATTCTAGCTATTTACACAGAGAGGTAGAGGGTGGAAGACTTGATTCACTTAAGAACGAGAGGACGTCTGCTATAGGAAATTTACCACGCTGTTTCTCTGAGAGAAAGGCCTGCCTGTCTGAATCAAAGGGGAGAAAAGAAAGGGGGAGGGAGGGAGGGAGGGGGCTAGGGATATGACGTACGGCAGTGACCATCAACTGGCGGCCCGCGGGCCACATCCGGCCCGCCAGACATTCTGATCCGGCCCGCACAGCAAGGGTGACTGTGGCGTTGGCGGAGTTGTTAGTGCGTTCGCCCCTCACTCATGTCACCTCGAGTTACACGGGTTCCAGCCCCACGCTTTTCTAAAAATGTTGTTGTGTCCTTGATCAAGACACTACATTCCCAAAGGTGATATATATAAAGATGACGATTACTTTTATTAAAAAAATATGAGGAGAAGTTTATGTTTAATCCGTGTATAGTTCGTTCTTATTTTTTTTCGTTTCAAAATCGAATAGGAAAAACTAAAAACCGGTGTTTTTGTTTTGTTTTCTGTTTTAAAACCAAAACAGAAAAACAGAAAACCAAAAAACAGACCTTATTCTGTTTTTAAACCAAAACGGGTTAACAAGAAAGTTACCGGTTCGCCTAGGAGAAAGTGGAGCACACAGGACACAACCGTTTCATTGCAGGCTGTTGTGTTTATGTGGGGAAATGGCAGCGCAGACATTATTTGAGATATGTGTGCCTGGCAAACCATTTTCTTATATCCTGAAACCGTTTCCCACCAATCGGGACACGGTATTAATAAAAAAGTTGATCCCTTTCCCTGCCGATCAGGACTGCTTTCAGTTTTCTTACCCCGGATACAGGCTTATAAAAAAAATATATTATTTTTTTCAATAAAGTGAAAATATTAATCAATTATATATAAAATTAAAAATATATATAATTTATTATGATTTATATATATATAAATCTCTAGCCCCCGAAAGTGTCTCTTGGATTAATTTTGGCCCTTGGACAGTAGGTGACCCCTGACGTAGGGTAAGGGGGCCGACACACTGTCTTTTTGCTCCACAAGGGGGCAGTAGTCCTAGTGAAAGCTGGCCGGGAAATATAAACTCATCAGGACAGCTGACAGCAGAACAGCAGGGGGCGGGCCACAGAGGGCAAACCAGAGCTGAGATGTCAAACACTGGATAAAGAGATACACTAAGACATGACAGACTGCATGTTCTCAATATAGAGCCTCAGCCCTATTACTCCAGCGCCATAATGGCAACAACCCTCGCCCCCACTGCCCCCAGCCCTTTTAGCTATATTTAGCTAGCAACTTCTCCTTAGCAAGTGCAGTCATATTCTCTAATCTGCCAGTTTGGAGTCAAAGTCTGGGCTCAGGTAAGAGTCATCAGGCTGTCGAGCAAAATCTCTGTCTCTGAGCTTTTAAGGCACCAATGTGTTTTTGGTCCACATTTGCCTTTATTAGCCGGGCACGGATGAATGCTCTTAGTGAGTGAATACAAAGGGCCTCACTGAGTGCCAGTATTTGCCTGAAGATGTTTATGCCGTGCAGGCTATTTCAAAAATCAGCAGCATCAGCGACATACGCATCATGTTTACATCGATGAGCACACTAACGCCTTAGTCCATGGTTGAGTGGGCGGGAGGGAACATACACAAGTGGAAGAAATACTCACACCCGTGCATGTTCCCACACTTGAGTAGTACATACTTCATGCCATATTCACACACGGTGTATAAACCACCTCCCATACAAGCCTGGGAGGAAAAATCTCTCTGATTAGCTTCCACATTCTGATTAGCACATATGGCGCGCTGTGAAATAAAAAGGTCACCTAGTGCACAGAATGTTGTGCTTGAATACATCTGCATGCATTGCCCATGTATGTGTGTGAAATTGTGCATATATGACAGGCAGTAATCAGCATACTTACTGGAAGGAGGGGGGCCGTGAGTCTCCGATGCCCCCTGTCCTCTCCAGAGGAGGGGGCAGCTCTGGATGGCTCTCTGTGCACTGAGACCCTCCATCAGAGTGGGTACTCTCTGCCAGCACCAGCTGAGAGGGAGAAGTTGGAACAAAGGAAAGATTTTTCTTTAGAGACCAGACATATTTAACACTTAGAGAAACACAAACATTGATAAATCTGCTGTTGATTAATAGCAACAATTGGGCATTAGGAAGAACATTTAAAACATCTAAGTTTTAAGTGAAGTATATGTCGTTATTGAGATTTTGAACATTATTTAGGAAGAGGATTTAAATAAGCCTGATTATTTCAGTCTTCTTGCACTGTTAATAATGTTGTATCTGTTGTGTTTGTGTATTTTTAAATTGTGAGAATCATAAAGAAATGAAAAATATCACAATCATTTTGACTGAATACCTTGCTATCAATACTGTACGTTTGGGACTTAAATAATTATAAATAATCATCAGCAATGTAAATGTAATGACTAAACGGGTAAAAGCAAATAATGGAACAGGTAGAACAGCATGATGTATTCAGAAAAATACTTTACTGTCCTGCAGCCTTTAAAACACAACAAACCTTACGGTATTAGGATATATCTAGGACGCGTGTGTCAAACTCAAGGCCCGGGGGCCAAATCAGGCCCTTGGTGGATTTAATTTCGGCCCGCAGGATAATTTTTAATTCCTATTAGATCTGGCCCGCCAGTATATTACACTTCACTCAATCCTGAGGGTTTCCTCAGCTCAGAGCCTGACCCCAAACATCTATGAACTTGCACCCGAGATGAGATGCCAAGTATCTGGCTTGAACTAGCATCACAGAGCAGCACACTGAGTTTAATGGATGTTTCCTTCTGCACTTTGTTTCTTGAGACAACAGGGCATGTTTATTTTTTTCTTTGAGGGGAATTGTTTTTTTGAAGCTGTTGTTGGCCTGTGGAAAAATGTAATCATAAGAAATGACTCTGCAGATAGAGCAATAAGAAATTAATGCAACTGATTATTTAATGTTTAGTGTTGTTTTTATAGGCAATCATTTAAGCTTTGTTAGTTCCAGGTTTGTGCAATAAGTTCATTTCAATAAGTTTTGCTATAAACATTGAACCAGTCCGGCCCTCGACTAGTACATATTTTTTTATTTTGGCCCACTGTATTTGAGTTTGACACCCCTGATCTAGGAGGATATCTAATATCACTATATGTTGCCCAGCCCTAGCCCTAAACTGAGGGGAAAGAAGATAAAAAAACAGACTTTGCAACACTCAAAGTGAAACACACAGGAAATATGGCAACAAGCACATCTTGTGTACGTGTGAGTAAAGGCCGAGATGCGGCAAAGAGGACGAGTACACTGGTGGCAACACAAAACAACTTGGGAAACAAACATGGAAGAAAACCTAAAAAGGCCACACTGCTTCTACTCAGTTGACAGTCAGTACAAAGGGTGATGTACAATGACCCATAGATACAACTTCTCTCCTTTGATCTGAGCCAGAATAATGACAGCTAAAGCAGGCAGCTGTGGAAGAATAACAACGGCATGGACTATGATTATTCTAAAGCCAGCTTTGGGATTCAATGGTGTCACTATGGTGTCACCAGCTTCTTAAATGAACCCCGTGGACTACTTCTTATTTACTCCATGTCAAAGGCTGGTAGTACTGCTCATTTCCCATCACCTTTTGTGTCTGTGTGCTGAAGTGTAAATATTTCCACACTTTAGAGATGCATTGATCTGACTTTTGTCTCTCCTGATGCTGATTCCTAATCCCACACCAGTGCCTTCTTTCTCTCCTAAATGCATGAAGTTTATCAGGATTATTTTAACTAAGCTAACCTTTAAGAGCCCTACTGAATTAGTGGAAATACTTAATTACAAGATGACATTTATAAATAAAACTGTATTTAATGTGTTGTACATGCTGATCCAATTAATACGGTCATTATCACCTGTTATTAGTACAGCACATCACATTGGTGACCCCTACACACTTAAAGTAGTGTATGTTTGTATATCAGACACATAAACAGCATATTATTTCTCATGGTTATTGAATCTGTTTAAAGTAATAGTTTGCCTAAGTCACAATGCCTTAAGAACATGGTTTTGATCTGAATGTATTAGGCATGAAAGGAAGCGCTTTACATAAGTACTGCCTTAATGTTGGGCAAAGGGTATCCTGAGATTTGTTAATTTGCATTATTTTTAATTGTATTTTTTTAACATATTAAAACTGAAGAAAATAGCATACAAATTGTAATCAACATGATTGCTTTTAGAAACTCTGATACTATTTGAAGCGGCTTGAATACACCGAGAATCACACAATACACTAATTGCATGACAGGCTGCTGATATAATGATACTTACCAGTTCATTTATATCAATTAATAAAATGATCAATCAATTATCAACATCTATAAAAATGACCAAAAGTGAAATGTTGGTATCTTAAAATTAATCTTACCATGAAATGTTTGCCCTGCTTAAGAATCATTTGGGACCACTGGCAGAGCGTATTATTTTGGTAAATCAAATGTGAATTAATCATGAAGATGCATTAACTCGGGCTAAATGGTGGTTGAGCAGCAGTAAAGTAGTGAGCCCACATTTATGTACAGGCTTAAGTTATGTTGCTAGTAACGACACTGTGTAAGGGATACTGAGCAACAGGCAGTCACTAACGACTCTAAAGCCACCACTGTGTCCCTGACTCTGACCTCTGACCTCCCTGTGGAGCACTAAGGCATTTCCCTTAAAGAGATCACTCAATTATAATATTCTGGATCATATCTGGATTGTTAATATAAATTAACAAAAAGCCACCAAACATGCAACCTGTTAAACTTATTTATACATTCTTGCTCTTATCTTATTCTTCCATCAATATATCAAGCATGTGCTTGTCTCATCTGTTCTGTATGACAGAGCAATAACTCACATGTTGCTTCTTCCTTTAAAATGACAGATTTATTTGATGTATCATAATTTATTGTCCCTGAGGGGGATTTAGGCTTAGAGCACTACTTATCTTCCATAATGACAATTCACTATAAAGCTACAGAAGTCAATACAGGGTTCATACACTTTTTCGCCAAAGATTTTCAATGACTTCTCCATGACCTTTACCTCATTTTCCATGACCAAAAAATTACTCTTTCTCAGCGGTACCACTGAAACATTTTTATTTTAACATGGTAAGCTGGAAAATAAGGTCTGCATATGAAACATGTCTAAAACAAATCAAATAGTTGGCTTACTAGCTCCCACAGACTAAAGCCACTGAAGACTAGAGGGCGTGATTGTAAAAATCTCTCACCAGCGAAATACCTCGTCAGTTAAATGCCATTTTTCGTTTCATTACTATACGACACAGCATTTATTATCATTATAGTATTACTATTTTGGCAATTAGATCAAATATAAATTATATTTGATGCAACTTTGGTTACATTTCCATGACTTTTCAAAAACTTTGGGAAAAATATTGTTTTCCATAACTTTTCCAGGGCCTGGAATTTGCATTTTGAATTTCCATGACTTTTCCAGGTTTTCAATGACCGTAGGAACCCTGTCAATATAGTTACTGACCATCAGATCGGTTACACTGGATCGTACCTCGTTGTATTTTGTAATAGTAGCTATGTTTCATATCTAATGGAATCACCCACAGCTATACAATACAGCTGAACAGTGAGATCGAGGTGAAGAGTGTTCAGAAAGCTCTGTGGGGGCGTTGCAATGCTACATTTACATGATCTATGAGTGCTCAACATATCTGTGGTTAGAGCTGAGCTTTCACAGCCAGCAGAGAGGGGAACCATCCATCTCACTTACCCAGGAAACTACTCTCCCGTTGAAGCAGGGCAGCTTGGCGTTGTCATCGGAAATCTCTTCTTTGACAACCCTGGGGAACAGACAGACAGATGCAGTCAGGCTAGCCGTCCAGGAGCAGGACACAGAGTCAGCGCAACAACAAGTACAACACAATGCAGTGAGGAGACACTTCCTTTCCCTGCGTGGTTAATACACTCTGAGACATTCACGCTTTGTAAGTCACGTTTCCCACATGGCTTTCAAGCTTCGCACCCTTGCTGAGCTTAATGAGCAGCAGAGATGATACAATCTTAGAATAAATCACTATTTATGGTTTTATGGACATCTAAGCCTCCTTTTATTAACACTAAGCAAAACAATGTGATAAGGGCCGGTCAAACTGGTAAGGATTAGGCCATACACAAGTCTAATAGTTACAGTACATCTGTTACAATGTCCACTGATGGCCTGAATAATTTATCAGAGTTTACTCAAATAGTGGATTAGTGAATAAGCCTGAGGTGTAATATTTGTTCAAGACAAATCGTGTGCAAAGAAATACCATTCTGAAACAAGTATTGTGGTGCTGCAGAGACTATTATCATACAATTTATACTCTACAGCAAAACATATTTTATTTGGTACAGATACTCGCAAAAAAAAAAAAATCCCACCAGGATAATTTTAATAAATATTTAAATGAAAATAAGAAATTGGATAAGTATCATCCCCCTCAATATGTTTGCCTCGTGTTACCATTGCAATGTCAGTTAAACTAATTACATTAAATGTTTGTAGAAATCGCTTAGCCCTAATAGATATGTCCTTAGAACAGGACGTGAAGGCACATGACTGTGTATAAATAGAGTGATCTAGTGTGTGAGCCTCGCACAGTGCGTTCTTCTCGGCTGTAAATTACCTACAAAAATACCTCCCAGTTACCCTTTGACCTGCATGGACACAGCTCAGCAGCAGCCAGTCGCCACAACTGCTTGTGTCATATACATCAAGTTGGAGTTAGGGAAGGGGTATAGGAAATGTGCTGGCAAACCCCTTTCATACACACACACAAACAAACACTTGGCAAAACACCCTCTTATTATTTAACAGCTCCCCTTATAACCCTCTGTATGTGTTTGTGCACAGTATTTGGTTTTCTTTGCAAAAGGATTTTCCCTGAATTGATACAACTAAGTATTTATGAACTCTGGAGATCTCACTTTAGCTTCCCGGCTTTGAACGTGGTACATGAAAAAGGGAGAGGCGCGACTTGAGAGTAGCAGAAAAGCCTAAAAAGATTTTATGCAGGGGTGTCTCTGACAGCGACTTCACAGCTTTTTCTTTTCACTTCTTGTTTGCCAGAACTTCGCTGCTACTGAAATGATTAGCCAAGCCTGTTGTGTTTCTGTGCGCTCTGCTGCTGGGGGAGCTGTGTTGCTGGGAGTGGTGGACGGAGATAACGTAGCCTTGTGGCCGGGACTGACGACCAGAGTCTGCCTCTGCGGCCTGTTCCACCTCAGGGAGGAAGAGGGAGGGAGGGAGGCGAGGGCTGAGGCTGCCAGCTGCTGGTTACGTAGGAAGTGTTTGCATCCTCTCAAGCTGCATGACCAGCTGTAAGGTGACTTGGGAGGATGTGGGAGTGGCCCGTGCAAAAGAAATATCAGCAATGAATCTTTCTAATGTTTGACAGGAAAAAGAAAACCTGTTCCACTTGCTAACCTGCAGCTTATTTCAGGTTCTGGAAAAAGCATGTAAAGTAAGTCTCTCAACATATTTGTATCCATTATAAAAACCAGAAGAACCAAGAATCAACTCCAACGAAAACAAATGACGTCGTTAATCATGTGGTGAAATACTCATGGACAGCCTTCTTTTCAGCCTCAATCTGATATCAGGAGCCTGAATAGTTAACAAGCATCGACACACACATTAACACACACACACACACACACAGTAACCCTGTTTAGAGAAGCATATGTGTGGCGTGGGCTGCTGTCACAGTTCTGACTTCTTAAGAGCTGACAGCTTAAATGGGTCCTAACAGATTTCACAGGATAACGACATAAGATTTATCCAGCTGATTGCTGAATATTCAACTGTTGGAGATATTTGTGTAGCCGGGGAAGATTAGACGCGTTTGTTTTTGCTTTAGACACAGAGGAGGGCTGGGTAGTTACAGCCTGAACCAGAAACCAGCCGAGGAGAAGCCAGCCAACACCGACCAGCCGTCCAAGGACTTTGGTGGGCTGATGCTAATGTTACTATAAACAGGGAAGCAAAATATTTGTAGTCAAACATAGTTGCAAATAGATTGACTTCAATATGACTCTGACTCAGTAAACAGCTACATTTGACATTCACCACCTAAAAGGCTATTAATAACAGCATTCAAACTGTTGAAGTCACATTTAGTACCATCACTGTGTGATTTATCCAGCATCATCATAACCAAACTCAGATGTATCGGGTCATTTTCAGACATGAGGGCGTTGTTGATAATGCTAAGAGACAAAAATACGGGATAACCTTCGAAATCCGTCAAAGCAAAAACAGGAGCGGTGAAAGGTGCTTTGTGCAGAAAGCTGCAGGTTTTTGTCCTCAAACTACAGGGGCTTAGCAGCCCTACCTCAGCAGAAGAAAGATTCCCCTACCAGCCCCCCGCTTTCTAAGGCACAAACAAGACTGTTTCTTTCAGAGCTTCAGCTTGGCTGCTTCCTCAGCTCCAGAGTGCCGCTGTGACTTGCATTATAGTGAGGTCTCAAACCCACTCACCACCAGTGGCAATGACAAAACACCATATCATCACCTTGAAGTCTCCAAAAACCCTAAGTGGGATAAACAACACAGCCTCCCGCTTCCTGTCTTATGAATATTGATGACTGAATGAAAAGTAAGGGGGGAAAAACAACTGAGGTATGAAATTTGCACAAAGAAACGTTCATCGTCTAATTTGCTGTGCCGTGTTGTGTGGACGGAGATGCCACAGCCCGTGGTTGCATGTAATTCCTGATCCCAAAGGGAGCTGAAATGACATGTTCACCGAGTAAGCTGAGGCGTTTTGGGGGCAAAACCGTTTATCAGATTTGTGTGGCCATTGCTGAGAGAGCTGATATTGCCAGCACAAATGTAGTTCAGCAATCCCATAAGAGAGTGGCTGGTTTTTCCTGCACAACAGGGGGTCTACTACAGAGGACCTTGCACTGACTGCTCATTTACATTTCAAACACAGTCTATAACTGCAAGGGATTTGATGTTTTCCCTCTCTGCTCAGCAGTCTTATTCCTCCCTTGCTAATTCTCCAGCAGCCATACTGTCTGTGTGTATGCAGTACAGCTAGAATGGCTACCACAAAGCGCTGCTATCCTCTGTGCCTTTGACTGGGTTTTGCTTCCATGCTGTGCCAGTACCATACGGCGCACACGGAGCCTGAATATTCAACCTTATCTCAAAGGCTGGAATGCTGATGGAGACGCCTTTGTAAACTGTGTATACCGGCCCTGTGTGAAACATCGTTTTTTGACAATGTCCAATTCACACCATCATTTAACATGCTTTGTTGACGCACATGCAGCAGCCGGTCGGCCTGGTGTGGCGGTTTGTTTAGCAACACAGAGCCACATCACCATGTGGAGAACGCAAACATGCTTTGTTTGTTTCCATAATCTGCCTGTGGATCACCTGAGGCCCAGCGAGCAGCCGGCCTGCAGCCGAGGCAGGAAGCCGGGACAAAGCGGAGCTCCAAGCCTGCACCAGGAAGAGCTAGTTTCCCTCACAAGGTCAGGCTGCAGTGGAAATCTGTGACGTTTGGCTTCAATGACACTGTCTGCCTCTGCATTTCCTCCAATAATGTTTGCGATTGCAGTGCCGGATATTAATGTGTGTGGGATCTTGTCTGACTGTTCAGACTGGAATGAGAAACAGTAACTGACACAAATATGTCATCCTCAGCAGAGGCCTGATAGAAGTAGATCTCGCTGACCGAGAGAGCCGCAGTGCTTTGTAGAGCTGCAGTAACTCTTTAAAATCAGGACAGGAATACAAAGAGCAGAACAGAGAGACATATAAATACAGAAATAGTTAATAAATCCAACATCCAGTGGAAGTTCTGTGACTTATAAAGGGAAGTTCACAATCAAAATAAAAAAAGACAAAGAGAAATTCTACTGAATGTGTCTATAATCATTTGCAAAAAATACATTTACATGATATCTAGTGTTTTCTGAATTCATTTTTTGTTCCATAATTAATGCTACATTAATCAGCTTTCAGCTTAAACATAGGTTTAATCATTAATTTGATTACTCTCTCTCCTTATGACAGTACAGTAATTAATACATGACCAAAACTACAGTGGGATATGATGACACGGCAAACATTGTGCCTCATTGTGCCCTATTTGGATACTAATACAAGGATACATAAATATATATGTTGTTACTGTTGTCATATTTACTGTGTAGATTTTACTCCTAATGCCTGATAACCTGCTGCTGCATTAACAGAGAATTATCTATCTATCTATATATCTATCTGTCTATCTATATTTATCACTATCTATCTAGCTATCCATCTATCTGTATTTCTCAGGAAACAAACATGCATTACTGTAATAACTCCGTATAATACGTTATCTGCTTAAACATCTAGGTTATGAGGAAGTTGTTCAGTTTGACAGGTGGGGTAATTAAATGCAGAAGTTGGTTACACGATTGCATTTTAACAACCACAGCCACTGGTTTGTGGTTGCCATATTCCCTTGGGATTCACCTGCAATCCATTGTGTGTGTTTGTGTGTGTCTGTGAGTAAAGGCAACTTCCTGGGTTGTAATCGGTTGTAATAAGTGAATGTAAAAAAAAACGGTTTTAATAAATACTTATGATATACACTTTCAAATGGCAGAGAGGAACCAAAAAAACAAAACAAGTCGAAATGAAACCTGAGAACTTGAACATGTGGAGCCTTTGTCAACATTGCTTTTTCGTTAACAGTCCACATGGCTCATATAATGACAGTAATATGGGTTGATATATTGACATTAATACGCGGAGCAGGGTCTGGCTCTGTGTGTACATGCAGGGCTGCGTCATTAGGATAGATCTGGGACCACTTCAAACACTCGTATGTCTCCTCCACTGCGCACAGGGTAGTAATAATGAGCAGGTGCCAGGAGCATGGAAACAGACATGGCACTGTAGTTTGCTCACATGTAACAATGTTGCAGCTAACACCGTCTGATGCTGTCTATCACGCCCTGCAATACACTTATTAAACACACACTGCAATAATAAATGGCAAGTGAACAAGACGAAAAGGCTAATAATAATCATGGTGGCCACTTACCCAAAATCCTGGTCCATCGATTTGAAGAAGAATTTGTAGCTATTGACCGGTCGATTGTTGAGGACATTTTTAAAATCCGCTAATGTGACTTTGTCCGGAGAAACGGAGAGTTTGACCAGATAAGGAGTCTCCTCCTCGTCTATGTGATATATTATTTTAGTCTCCGCCATGAGAGTGAGGGGAGGACAATCATTGACACAGGAAAGGAAACAAGGGTTGGCAGCGCAATAGACAGGCCTGCTATGTTACCAGCTACCCGTAGAATAACATAACAGCATTCCCTAATATATAAACCTGTACACGGTGCCACGGTGGAAAAAACAGCTCCGTGTTTTTGACACACACGGCGAAAATCCAGACATAATCGCGTTATGAGTGCCTGTATTCCTGCTCCGGTGTGAGGCGGTACGGTGGCTCTCTCGGCACTACAACAGGAAGGGACAGTCCACATCCTTACAGCGATATGGAGTTGGGAATATTGCTATTTTTCACAAGCTAATTGGTTAGACAGTGCTGTCATCTAGTGGCGTGTCTGGGCTGTGCGCGGGCCTTAATGCCCATTTTAAACAACAGGCATGAACAAAGAGGAATTGCCCTGGCTTTATAAAGCATGGGGTTTCCTTTATTATCACTACTAACTCTGATATAACAGTGGCATATAATGGTTTGAAGCTGTATTAACTACATTTAATACATATTTTATACAATACATGTCAAAATAACCGCCATAAAAATATGTAGTTTTGAAAGCATGATGACCTATTTCTGACCAATTAGTCATGATTATAAAAAGAGCATACAATCACTAAAACTGAAATCCTACACATGTGCACACATCATACTTTTAAAAAAAAATGTATTCAGCAGATGCTCGCCCATGATTTTATAGAGACTAATGGTCAATTAATTCAAGGTAATGGGCTTATTTAATGTTAGATGTTCCCATTTCAATAATTACCAATGGAAGTCATTATTAGACATTAATCATAGATTGTAATTGCTTATTAATCACTGCACGTGGCTGATCACCCCAGGAGTAAAAATTGTTGAAAGCTTTGTACTGCACAGCTGGTTATGGCACATGAACTACACATTTATCAGACCAAGAACTATTTAATTCAATTCAAAACTGATCATCAAGACTTCAGAGGACACATTTACATTTCATAAAACAGTTTTCTACGCATCCAAATACCAAATATGTGTGCAATACATGTGGATCCACCATCTAACAACCAGAACAAAGAGTGTTGAGTCTGTGGCCACTGTTGTGAAGCTTTAATAGAAGAAATATTTGCTTGGAAGAGACAAACAATAGTGTGCAAGAGAGCAAGAGACAACATGAAATCGAAATTGTGATTTAGCATTACTGAAAAAGCAAACATTCTTCTTCCAGCAGTAAACTTCATAGAGCTATAGCCGCACATTTATAAAACGTTTGTACCTATCATTGACCAGCAGATTTAGTAGTGAACATTCAGTGTTTTATGATCCAGAGTACATGGTGCAAACAAACACTGCACATGGCCCATTAAATACCAAATAACCAAAGGTTCTTTTTTTTTTACCTGAGTTTTGGTTGACTGGGCCTTCAATCAGTGGTCGGACAATTTATCTTTTTCACTTGATACGTTATCAATAAACAGATATATCCATTAGGGAGAAATATTATTCTGAGAAGAATCTAGGTCTGAAAGTCCAAAAAAAAACATTAAAAAAAGATTACATTAAGTCATGACTGGCTGAGTTTCTTAAAATAAAAACATAATAAACGACCTTAATCTGTGTAAAGTGACTAATTGTGTATCTAGAAATGTGTGACACTTGTTTCCAAAAACTGTCTGAAACTGTCTACTACAGTAATATAACCTTTAAAGCATTATGAACCACCAGAAATTGTGCAAAAAAAAGAAAATTCAAGAATGGAAAATAGATGTGAGCTTGCATCTCTGTAAGCATGCAACGTATACATAAAATATACTTAATAAACAGCATGCATTTTCGTAAAAAGGACGATAAAAATGCCTAATAATCACCATTAACCACCCAATGAATGCAAGGAGTAAGGATCAAATAAATGTTTAACCATATTGTTATAACAGCTGGTGAAAATCATATAAAAAATGACATGTAAAAAAAATGATGCTGGCTTTCAGTTGAAAAGCTTAGTGTTACAGTTACAGCAGAGGGAGCGTTCCTCCTGTCCTCTCCTGGGTTTCCTCTTGTATTCCTTTCTCTCCACGATCCTTTACTCTTCCGGTGTCTGCCCTGGACCTGCCAGCAGCATCTCAGAAATATCGCACTCACTTCCATAGCTTCCCATCAAAATCTGAATGATGTGGGAAACAGATATTTTATTATTCAAACATAATGTTTCGTATCTGTGGTTTTTACCCTATGATGTTTATTTACTGAAATGCAGCCCTGCACAAAGTCTGCTCACCCATGTTGCAGTCTTTGGACATATCTCTCTCTTTCAGTATGTTGTTTTTGTAGTCTGTGGATTCTGGTAGACACACAGGTTATGAGTAAAGATATTTTGATTTGAATAAGGTAGAAAATGTGGATGAGGCTTACTGTACCTGAATTCGTAGGTTCTTGGTTGCAGCAGGTCCTCAGTTCTGTGCATTCTAATGATATCTCACCTCCGCTGATCACAGTTCCCCTGCACAGAAATAAGTATTGCTCCGCTTACAAATGGATTCAATACAAAGTGTTTGCATAATTTATTGTGCAGTAGTGTCTTACCTCTCATATCTACGTATGTCGTACTCCAGCCCTATAAGATTGAACAGGAAATGTCAAACACACTGTATCCACAAAACAGTGTTTCCAATAACAGGCAAGAACAAGTTTGTTGGTTACCTCTCTTCTTGCGTCTCCTAGTCACCACGATGACAGCGACAACGATGAACGCCAGCAGTAGGAACGTGGCCAGGAAGTAGCCCATATGCTGCACGAAATAACCTCGCTGCTCAGGAAGGATGACGTTCACCACGCGCGGACCCTCCACCTCTTGCACAGTCCCTAAAGGAAGAAAATTAAATATGATTATTCATCATACATAATTCAATCTTTCCCTCAAGAAACGTTTGTTTCATAAATAAATATAGAATAGTCCACACAGTGAATATATCAAGTCAACTCCATGTACTTACAGTATACAACAATTGAAGGGGATTTATTAGATTGTTTAATTGGATGATCATAATGGCAATAAATCTAGTTCACTGAAATGTATTTCTACATTAATCAAAACGTTTTATTCCTCCCGAGGTTTATTCTTTTTCATTTGTTTCCAAAAGGCAGAGAGGGAGAGCAGGAGTTAAATGTCTGTTCTGTGGTAATGAGTTCCAGACCTGATGTCATGCAGCTGTTCTTTTTTTTTTCGCTCTTCAGAAAAACACATGCTGACCAGAAAAGAGGAGGGCAAGTGTGAGGAAACAGAGACAGATTTTGTTATGTGGTTTGTCTCTATGGGTTTCCCATTTAAGCCTTTTCACGGCGTCTTCTCACAAACAAAGAAGTGGAGTTTAGGCGTAAAGCAGACGCTACAGTTTAAACACATCTGACAACACTGCAGGCAGCTACCAGTCTTCACAGATAGCCAGACTATTGGTATAGCTGAGGATAATTATTATAAATGGAAAACACAGAATAAATATGGGGTAGGAGGTGGAATATCATAACAACTCCTGCCTATTATAAACAGTATTTCATTATATAATTATATACTGTACAGTACCACAGATGCTTTGGCAGAATAACCTTTCAATGCAAGTTTACAGAGATAATGAAGGGTGGAAAAGATACTGTAGTTTTTCAATTTCTCCCTAAATTCAAATGCAGCCAAATAACAGATGTCTTTCATATATCATAAAAGACATCAAATACTTTTCTTTTATATATTTTTTTTAAGTAAAGGATTTTTCTTTGGTCTCTCATTAAAGCAGCTAAGTTGGACACTATTAAAATACACTGAGGCGCCACTGAGGGACTAATGAGGAAAAAATCCAACGTACCATCTCCGACACTTTCAAAACCAGCCAATCATGAAAAAACATGCTTATTCAGACTTAATTACCCTCCTAATAGACAGCCTGGTTAGCAATTATGCCCTGTCAGTTTTTAATCTACCTAAAATGCATGAAATTGAAAAGACATGTCCAAGGTCATTGTCTCTAGAGCTCAACTGTCTCAACCAGAGCTGCAGCCGAGTCCCAGCAGGAAGCCATTTCCATTTATGTGACAGATCTGACAAGTGCGTACGTGTTAACGGCTATTTCACATATGCTGCGAGTTTAGCCTGTGGGATATGCACCATTTGCAAGTCAATGAGCTGAAGGAAAGCATCTTACTTTTCAAAGATAAAGATTTCTATTGAATTGCTGGCAGCTCACCTAATGGCCTCTTGACGATTACAAAGAGAACATTTTATTTGCAACAAATAATTACAAGATGAAATGGGAAAGCTCTCGTGAGATGTGTAGTTTCAGATGATTGCTGGGACTTTCCCGAGCACAAACAACTTAGCTTTAAGCTAACAGACAAGACGAAGCACAAACAAAACGTGATTCCCAGATGGACTAAAAGACACACATGATGTCATCTAGCCACGTGGGCATTTGCTCAACATGCTTAAAAAAAAACAATACGTGAGCTGTCGTTTCTTTACAGGAGTGGAGGATTTATAGTCCAACACATACCTGCATCCCCTCCCCTTTCTATGCTCTTTCATGTCACAGCTGCCCCAGATGTTGAACAGATGTGTCAGACTTCCTGCTGCTGCTCAACGTGCATCAAACAGAGGCTGATACACACGATCAGATAAACAGAGCAGACTGGCGCAAATAATAAACAGAAATTGAGATGCAGTGCAACCCGTCTAGACGTGTTGTTGGGACTTCTGGAAAATTGGGTGAAATGGTGGAAAAAAACACAAGAATAGGACCTTCCACCCCGACATAACTGGCTGTTGGAGCCTACTCCTCTGCTCAGCCCAGTTAAAATGTCTCCAGCTGTACTAAATGAAAAAAGCAGTAAAAATGAAAAAATTCAGCGAGGAAAATTAGACCACTTCCGCTGTGGCCAATTTAAAGCTGTTTACTGTAGACTGCTTCTCGAGCCGAAGCTAAAATGTAAAAACCTTAAATAAAGACCTTTTTCACATGCAGTAAACAACTAAGAGAAGGATTTATTTATTTCTTTATTTCTTACTCAACGAGCTTCTACATTCCTTCTACCTCCTCCCTCCCTCTGCAGCTCAAACACAAAAACAGAGAAGACTGAGGAAAGAATTGGCAGAGGAGAAAAGGAAGTGACTTAACTGACCAACTATGCTTATAACCATAAGAAAAAGTCCGGGGTCTGTGTTGTTATTCAATCCACGATTCAGCGAAGAAACCATATGGGGAAAAACATTAACCATCTCTAGCTTCTGGAAAAAAACAAAGCTCTTGTGGAGTGTCTCTTGTGATTTTTAATTCTGAGGGACTTACTTTGCTCTGGCACATCATTAGGGAAAACTCTGGGTGCTGTTGTGGGTGCGGGGGGAACTGCAGGTCCCACATTGAGCCTGTAGATGCGTCTCTCGTGCAGTCCACAGTAGTGGTGATGCAGGTGGCAGGAGTACAGGCCTTTAAAAACAGGCCTTAAGTCAGCGATGGACAGAGAGAAGTCCCCTAGAGTGAAAGCGTCCTCCTCCACGCTCATCTTGCTCGCTCCGAAGCGTGGTCCATAATCTCGCCGTTCTCCAGAGGCATAGAGGTCCACCAGGCGGTCGGCCCGGTCAGGACGCACGCCGGGGGGCTGGAAGTCCCAGTGGGCCACCTGCTGCTGGTCCTCCTGGAGACCCTCCCTCCACAGAGAGCGCCTGTTCACACAAGGCAACACCACCGACTTGCCCAACATCACCACGAACACAGTCCTCTCTCCGTCCCAGTAACGCTTCTCTTTACGAGCTGGAAACACATGAGCGGGAAATATATTACTATCAAATCTGTTTCGTGAATCATGGAGAATCATTAGGCTGTCTACAGTATAAGGGAAGTTGCTTTGAAAGCTACCAACTATTTCACACTGGAAGCACATCTCACCTGACTTTGTGACATTGAGCTGGATTTTGATGGACTGGTGAATCTGGCAGTAGTGATGGTGCAGATTACAAGTATAAACTCCTTTGTCCGTTGCAACCACATCTGAAAAAAATAAGAATCAAAGCAACCATTAGATTACATCATACATAGGAGAGTGCAACGGTCATGGTGCTCCTCGAAAATAAGAGGGCATCTCACTGTCGATGATGAGGGAGAAGTTGCCATCAGTGAAAGCCGTGTCTGGGAGGGAAATGCGTCCCTTGTTGACGCTGTTGTAGACCCTCTCGCGGGCCCCAGGGGACATGTCCAGGACTCGCTCCACAGAATATTCCGGGCTGCTGCGCACCAAGTCCCAGTGGACCACCCTCTGACGGTCCTTCAGCCTGTCCTGGGTCCACACCATGCGGGGGCTGTGGCAGGGAAGCACAGCCTTGGATCCTTCAGGGAGGGTGATGTTCTTGGCCTCCACCACCACGCCAAATGTGTTGCTGCTGATCTGACCCCACGCTGACACAAAGAAATAAACATGTAGGTTCAGAAGATCCTTGAACAATGACATGAGCCACTACACATGAAGTTTGTGCATGGAGAAACATAAGTGCCTTACCTCCTGGCAGTAAGAGCACAGATAAAACTGCAAAAAACAAAGATATAAGGGATTAGAGTTGTATCCTGAAGCACTTTGTCTACAGATATCAGCCTGTTCACTAATTAGGTCTTTAGAAATATTTCTAAGACTCTGCAAAATGTTCTGTGGACTGGAAAGTTTCGGTTTGACCTGGACTGAGCCGACAGTGAAAGATTGAAACAGATGTGGGTTCAGTGAGAGGACTGTTTAAAATAACAGAGGAAAGCTAAAGAAACAAGGACATAGCACACATGAATACAACAGCAGAATAAATATATACTTAGATGCCAACAATCTTCTCCGGGAAATATATCGTGTTTGTGTTTTCTCACTCTAGAGATAGGACATTTTTCCTACAGCTCATTTGCTATTTCTACTGGATTTTTCCCACAGCGCTATTTGTTCGTGTGTTTACTGAAGGGCCAGCGGAGGCGCATGCAGCCAACGCACACAGAGCCTCTATTCATCGCTGCTGCTGCCGCTGGCCCGCTGCGACTCCTGCCAGGCCATGATCCTGAGGGGAGGAAGGACCGGGCTGCTGTTCAGCTGCTTCAGTCACACTGCCTGGTGTCAAAACCAAACACCTGTATGTATTTGTTACTGTACTGGTAATGGGTACTGTGAACAATGGAGGATGGAGGTGTGGGGCTTTCAGGGTAGAATAGATAGAATAATTGAGAGGGATGAAACCCCTCTTTAATGGTCACACATGCAGAGCACACAGCACACACAGTGACATTTGTTCTGCTGCTTTGAACCCATCCTAGTACCAGGAGTCTAGTACTAGGAGCAGTGGGCAGCTATTGTACAGCGCCCGGGGGAGCAATGGGAGTGAAGGGGGAAGAGGGATGTCCGGTGCCTTGCTCAAGGGCACCACGGCAGGGCAGGAGGTGAACTGGGAACTCTCCAAGTAGCAGTCTACACTCCATATTTAGGTCTGGTCGGGGTCTTGAACCAGCAACCCTACGGCTCACAGTCCAAGCCCCTACTGACTGAGCCACTGCCGGACAGATACATTCAGTACATATAAAGAAGAAGAATACATTCATTAGATTCTATGATAAAAGATAAATCCCAGTAATGTAAAATAAAATAAATAAAAAGACAATTCAAGTAAAATAACTCTCTAAACTGCACACAAGTTTGTTGAAAGATGTCAAAATGTAATAAAATGCGAGGTCGTGAAGAGCCCTTAATCTGTAAATTACATAATATAAAAGCAGCGGTGAAATGTCATTATGTAAATGTATTTAACTCAACAGTAACTTGTTACATACACTTTATATATTATAGTAATATTACTGAGGCATTTACTCCAAACTCACATGAACTATGAATGTTTTTACATTTGATAGTCTCGGTACATTCAGATAATAATCTGTATTTTTTACTGAAGTGACACTTTGTAATAAGAATTGTAATAATGTTTTACTGCTATGATGCTACTTTTAACTAAGTCAAAGACCCTCATTATCTAACACCCTAAAGGCAAGCTGACAAGCCAACGAAAAGGCTGATTCACTTCATGTGTGAGCACAGGCAGCAGAAATATGAAGAGGGTGCCTATTTCACCACATCCAAACCAGGCACCATTGGAAAGCAGCTACTTTGCTTAAATGCAGGGATTTGATCACACAAAAGCATGCTGTGATTTTGAAAGAAGGCACCAAAATAATATACTATTTAAAGCTGGGCCAAACTAACTAAGCCAACACGCTGGCATCGGAGAGCAGACGTCATGCTGGAATAACAATAAGGGTTTCTAATGAAGGCTATAAACTTTCCTGCAGAAGGTAAAACAAAGTGTGCCAAACCCTGTAAGTGTCTCTCATCAAACCTCCAGACACTCGCGAGCTGATGACTCACGAGGCTGGATTAACCCTGAAGACTTAACAATGTGCTATTGAGTAACCAACTATAATAACATGCATTTACCAAGTGATCTCCAAATCACTGTTGTCTCTTGCAACCTGAGGAATCACATGGAGGACACATTGTAAACCCCTGAAGTCAAACTAAAAGGGTTCAACTCAAACATAAACTATGTGTTCGCTCAGCAAAGTCTCTGTGATTCATGGCTGTTGTTGATCTGTGAAGTTTACTCATATCCACGTCACAGGTTTAGAACAAATCAAACAGGTGTCCAGCTGCAGACTCGGCAAAACAAAGGTACAGTCAGACGCCTTGAGAGCCAATTGACTCTCCTCTTGATAGGTCAACTTCCTTATGTGAAGTTGTTGAATACGTTTTTGTATGACACCTCACTGGGTGTATTATTGTAAATGTAGGTATTTATCTTCATCAAACTTTAGAATAGTGAAAAATGTGCAGGATCAAAGGATGTCTCCCTGTAAAATAGCTTCTCGGCAGGGATGGAAGAAGTGCAGAAAAGTATTCTTGTAACACCAAGCTGTAGAAAGGATAAAGTTTGGCATTCAAAATGTTACTTTAAAAAAGTAAAAATAAGTATTAGCATCAACATATCTTAAATATTTTTAGAATGTTTAATATATTACAAAGTTTGCAGTCAAATAATATTATGAATAACATATTAGTTAATAAGTGAAACTTGTTTCTGCATATTGATAGCTTGATATATGATATGATATATCATAATTGTTTTTGTTATTTTAAGTTATCAAATACATTAAGCAGAGTAATTGCAGTCAAATAAACAACAATTCCCTTCTGAGAGGTAGGGGTGTACAAATATAAACCAGCATTAAATGGAAATAGTAAAGTAAAGTATCTCAAAGTTGTACTAAGGTAGGTAATTGAGGAAGTTCAACCACTGCTTCTCGGTTTATTTAAACTTTATTCTCAACTGCCCAAACATCATAGACTTAAAAATGAATTGGGATCATCTCAGTGTGTGGGCTTTTACTGTAAATCTCACTTTCTGCTGAACAAAGTCGAGGCATTGCCTGTACAGAACACAAACATGTTACCTTTCCACGACCTTCTCATTTTACGCCATGATTCTACATCTTTAAACCATAGGTTTAAACACGTATTTAGTTCAACACAGCATTTCTAATCTTTCCCATGCCCTGTTGTTGGTGGCCGGTCATTAACACAGAACCACCATAAACTCGGATACAGTAATCCCCCCCCCCCCAGACACACACACACACTCCTCCACGTCGCGCGGGCTCAAAGCAGCCCCTCGCGGTGAAGCCCTCGTTACTGACACATTTAATAACGGGCTGCAGGATTCTGCTGACTCTGCTCAGACCGCAGGTAACGAGAAACACATTGGGCTGAAGCCACAAAAAATCCCACATACACACAATCAACAGGCCGGGGCCAGTAAAGTCATGCAGCGTTACTGAAGCGAGAGCCTCTTCGATGCTGCGTTTTACTGCAAATCCATGCAGCTCCATGATTTATCTTAGAACATTTCAAAATACAGGCTTTCGATAGAGAAGTATTATGGCATCTTGAGTAACACCACTTACTGAGGAAATAAAGTTTAAAACAACATACTTAGGTACAAATGTAAAAGGATGTTGATAAAACAATAGGCTAAAAGTACATTAAGTTGGCTTTCGATTCAACATTTTAAAATATTACCATCGAACTAAATAAATAATCTTAGAGCGAAATTAACAACGTTTTTTATAGTTGTATAATAAATAGGCTATATACAAAACAGGTATAGAAACAGAAGATAATTGAGTTATATTAAGAAAAACGCTACCACCAGTTATCAACATTTCAGTTTATGGGTCCGTTTTATAGCTTATATTGGAAAGCTTTTCAAAGGAATTATTATTGAAGAACCTTAAAAATAAGATGTTTACAGTGCAGCAGAAGAGACATGAGAACTGAATGTATTTCTGCTTTTGTTTCTGACGCGCAACACTGTCCTGGAACCAATTATAGAACAAAGAAAGTTTCCCAAAGTTATTTTTCTCTTTTGAAAGCAAGAAAAGTGAACAACTTACTATGAAGGAGAGTCATTTCGAGGTGCATCCTATCCACGGTGTTGAGGTACAGCCTGTCAGGAGACTGTGATGTGTGCATTAATTGATAAATCACACAGAGCAGCAGATTCCCGAGCTGTGGCTCAGCTGGAGTTGTTGTATTCCTGCGGACTGGAGTCTCGCTCCGCCTCCACATGAAACCCAACACTGCTGTAGTCTGACGAAAAACATGTGTTGCAGTACGATCTAACGAGGAGGGTTAGGTAGAAAACTATAATTTAACAACATACAAACCGAATATAAAAAATGCACTAAAGGGACATTACTCCAAATGGGATAAAGGCCAGCCCCAAGAAAAAGCTTGTTTTGAAACTTATTTTGTTGTCAGTGTGAAATTGACAACAGATCAAACTATAGTGTTTACATTACAACAATAGTTCCAAAGAAGGCGTAACAGGCGCAACAAGCTTTTTCCTATGTTAAACTCTCCAGTGACATGTCAAGACTAACGTTTTTTTATATGGTTGTAAAAGTTTTAAACCAGTCCCTGGGAACCCTTCCACCCCAGGAAGGGATTAGAAAAGATCTTTCCTCATATCCCCCCTTTTTGATCTTAGAAAGGCTGGTTTCAGCATTAAAGCCCTAAAGGAAGCAGTTTCACTTCAAAGCCTTTTAAAAAGGCTTTTTATTGTCAAGCTACATTTAGATGTATAATAGTTGAGATCTATGCACCTCTATTTCTGATTGAGTTGTTCTATAGATAAATAAAATACTTGAAATAACCATCGAAAGTAGTAGTTCCAGGTGAAAAGTATTTTTTTGTGTTTGCACATTGGTGATATCCAGAGTAAGAAACGTAAGATGTCCTGTAAACCAAAATATGACAACACAAAACAACATCACACATTGCATTGGGCTTGAGGGAGAAATATTTTTATTAGATGATCTACACTTTGTTTAAAAAATTGTACACATAGGGAAAAGGCTGACTGAGTTGGTGTTGAGCTGTGCAGGGCCGTCCAGATGCGAGACAAACTTGAAATAGCGTCAGTGTTTTTCAGTCCTTTTTGTTTCCGTGCTGTTTAAGGAAGATCTTAGGTGTATTCCATCCTTCTGGAGCCTTCTTCAGTCCAGCTTTTGTCCAAATCCTCTTCAGATCCTTCTCAAATCGTTTCTGCACACGACACAATCAAACAGTTTAGAAAATATAATTTGTGTATAAAATACACAAAATAAACACCTTTGAAGTGTAAGCAAGACACCATGTTAAATAAGACAATACAGTTTGAAATGAAATGATCACATACTGATAAATGGCTGAATGTGCCAGGATAATCAGTAGAGAATTATCAATCTATTCAATATCACAGGAACCTTTTTTCTTTTCCCAAAGGAAGAATNTCTCACCTGCTTCTTTTTCCCTCTGCCCTCTATCACTCTCTTCCTCAAGAATTTAGTCCGTTTTAGCAGCTTCTTGTACTTATGCCGGTTGATCTTCCGCCGTCGGATCTCAAGAACATTTTTACAACTAAGGGGTGTCCCTGGTTCCCCCCCGTCCTCCAGCGCAGGGTCAGAGAGGGCTGGCAGCAACTGCTCCTCCAGCAGCTCCACCTCCTCCTGCGGGAGAGGGCACTCCAGCAGGGGGGGGAGGGAGTAGCTCAGGGAGAGCCAGCTCTCCAGGGGGCTCACGGACAGTTTACGCGGCACAAGAACCTCTTCCAGTTCTGGCTCCAGTTGCACCCATCGAGGAGGAGGTGTGTCTGCTGCTGTTGAGTAGCTCCTGAGTTTTGGTTGTAGCGGAGAGCAGTAAGCAGGAAGTACATGTTGTACACGTCCATTCAAAATGTCTCCATGGGCTTGAAGCGCACCTGGAAAAATAAATGATATCATCTTGAGTTACATTACTTATAACTGGAAATTTAGCATACCCATTGTCTAATTAATATAATAAGGAGAGATTCCACAACAGTTGTTCTAACTTTCGAAATCTGGTAGGTCAATTCATTTTAGCATGAACAACATTGACATTTTTAGAGCACATGTGAAATAGCACTTTCATCTATGGTCAAAGTCAGAATATTTGAATAATGCTAACATTGTTTATTTAGTGTCTTTCAAAGGAAATAGGTTCATTCACAGATTTTCTTATCATACTATATTGAGTCTTTGAGCACATGGGACAATTAGTCTTTTTCAAAACAAAATGTATAGAAAAGAAAGCCCCATGTGCCCTAAGACTAAACAAAATAAAAACCATACTGTTCGACCAATTGTAAAAATGTCAACATGATTTTAAAGGATAGAAATATATTTTGTTTATACTTACAGGTTGCTCTACGTAATAGATTGAGACGAGGGACAACCTTTGATGAAAACATTGTTATTGATCATTCAAGTAACTTCATCAGGAATGAGTTGAGGGGTCACTGGTCCTGTGGGGAAAGAGCACATTACTTTGAGTTGGTCATAGCTCTTCCATAGAGATCACAAACGTGTACTGAGAAGTAACTACAAACAATAACAGTCATATAAAAATACTGCATATATTTTATATCATTACAAAATACTGTATTTTGCAATAGTATACTGTACGCAGTTTGTTGTACAGATTTCATGGAAATAATTTATATATTTTAACGTGTAGTAGGTTTATTAAAAATAGTTGTTTTAAATGGTATTCTTTTAATTATTTGTCTAACCCTTTATGTCCTTAACTGTGTTTATCTTTTCACTATATATACACCTGTTTTATGATTTTTATGATATACTGTCAAACCTAGCTGGGTTAGCTTTAGATTAGCCGGTAACTGATGTCCACCTTAACTATAGCCTGTACCCAAAAGAATGAAATGCACTCATGGTACAAAGTAAAACACTGTGAGAATGTAAAATGATCAATATTAACGAAACCTTGTCAAATTAAACTTTTTTTCCAGTTGCCAGGTGACTTTTGCTAATGCTAGCTAGCAACGCAGCACCGATTTAATGCGTTCAAATCGCAATATTATTACTAAAAGATTGCAGCTAAGAATAATTCGGCTTTTGGCTATCCGACCACGTCAATTACACTATGTGTTGTATGTAATAAACATTGTTACTTTACCTTATACTACTATGACCCGTGTTTTCGTCTTCAATGTGACTCTAGAATCCTACTTCCGGCTTGAGTAACACAATATTAAGGCGTTTCCTGTTTCTCAGCGGAGACAAAGGTTCCGCTGTAGCAGTTAAGGCGAGAGTGCCTCTCAATTATGTGGAGCTACTCTTCAACCTCCTCATTAATACACTGAATAAACGGGCAGTGTGTTATTGAAATATTATTAATATTTGATCATTATTATGATTACACATGTATTTAATATTATTTAATTAAGGTTCAACACCCAGGAGGGACATCTTTTATCTTCTGCTATGCTGATGGTAAATCTGGAGAAAATGTCCCCACCACTTTTTCTAACAAAGTGAGGACCATGTATTTGTTTAATCATTTATGATACTGTGTGGACCTGTGCTTTGCATCACACAGTAGGTGAGTTTAAAGCTTGAATGACTCCACTGGAGGGCACTATCAGTCCAATGGTAGAAGGTGCATGATGTTTCAACAACAAGGACCTTACGTTTAATTCTGATTTCCACTGAATACATTGTACAGCGAATCCAATAATACATAAAAGTACAAGAAACATACCGTGGATATTTTGCATCCGAGTTAAACTCTTTTTGTGACTAACTGCTGCCTAAAATGAATTAAATTCTTCAATTGTAGTCTATTTGTTGAAGCAAACATTTAAAAAATAGTTTAGACCTGCATGAGTTCTATGAGACTTGTTCTTTGGTCAAATGAACAAAGTGGGTGGGGAGCATAACCACAATAGCTTAATTTGGAAAAGACAGCTATGACATAAGAGTTTACATTATTGATGTTTATCTTAAATGCAGCTGTAAAGCAAAATACATTTGGGAATATATTTAACATTTCATTCTCTTAAAATGACCAAATTCATTCCACATCAAATGTATGTGTTTAGTTTTTTTAGAGAGTATTTGAAACATCTGCTGCTAGGCTGACAAAAACCCAGCATGCCCCAGGGGTCTGCAGCACACGTCCTCACAGAGCAGTGAGCTACTGCTGCTGTTTACGCAATAAACTGACCTTCACTTTGTAGTCTGACCTTTTTTAATTTATTTACAGAATAAATGTTTTTGCACATATTCAAGCACTTCTTTGCATAAAAACAGAAAAGTCCCAAATGTTCAGGACAGAGTAGTACAATTGCATGTTTTAAAACACAGCTATGACGTTCCATAAACATATTACAATCCTTCGTTTTTTTAATTGAACTGTGTTTCCCTTTGATTCATTTAAACACATATCTTTCTTCCATGTGGCACAGTTGTATAAAAAGGGAAACCTCCACTTTTAGATTGCTCTAGTTTTACATACTTGTTGGCAGCCACATCAAATCGTTTATTCATGGGGCTTTCTCTCTAAGCTTTCATCAAGATGGTGGTCAGTGGAACATCTAGTTTGTTGGTATCGGAGTGGTGTGATGCAGGGCATAAAGTAAGGATAAAAAAGACTTTAAAATTCTCAGGGCATTTATTTACAATAAACAACAACAACAACAACAACAACAAAACATTCATTTCAATGTAAATCCTGCTGGCTCTTCATTATTTCCTTCACTGTACTTACACCATCAGTGTGTGATGATAAGGCAACTGAAATGATCAGCAGGATGTGCTGGGAGATTTCCCTTTTTACTGAACAGTCTGAATAATTGTTTTAATATTTATCTTCTATAAAACTCTATTTGCAAAAAAATATTTAAAAGTAAGTGTACGAGAAATAAAACAACCATTTTTAAGTTGGCAGTGATTTCAAGGATGTTGGTCAATCCTATTTTAATCCATGGCCTTTACATTATATACTATACACTCCAGCCGATTATCTATTTACAAAATCAGTAGTTGTATATATAGTTATTTTTCTTTTAAGCAAATAAATATTCACTGTCTTTTTTAAATGCATTGCAATTTACTGCAGTGGACGAGATCAGACTCTTTACAGATGACAACATTATAATTCACTACAAGGCAACACACACAGTACAAGCATATGGCAGGATGCTGAACGTATCCCCCATAGAGGTACAGTGTTACAGGTGTACGCTATAAATGCCACTTCAACAGGAACCAAATTGATAAATAAAGACAGGTATTAGAGAGATAACAGGACATAATGTAGATTGGGCTCCTCCTCGCCAACACACGAGAGGGACAAAGCAGTGAAATCAGTCATCGATGGCAGTATCCATAGATCTAAAGCCTATACGGACAGCGTTGAAGTATATCTGCATTGCAATCCCATTTCCGATGCAGTACACGAGACAAGAAGTCGAGGTAAAATACAGGGATGAAGAAATTGCCTTCTTAAAAAGGGACAACTCACTTCCAAAATCAAAAACATATTTTTCTTATAACATGTCCTTCATTGTTGGGGATATTTATTGTAGGTATGTCTGGCTTCCATCATAATGGAACTTATAATGGAACTCATTTAAAGGAAATTGTTTTAAATCGTTTGCAGCTTGCAATTTGTATTTTACCCAGAAAATAATCACAATTAACAGCATCCAACAGAACAATAATATATCACATTAGATGTTAAAAAATACTCTCCTTTGATGCTGAATATTTGGTATTACATACATTAGAGATATTTATTTATTGAGTTAAAACCTTTGTTGATTTGGTAAAACCATCTAGGCAATTATCTTCTCTGCATTGCAGCAAAAGTCCTTCCTGTTTCTACAAAGAGCTCAGTGGCACCGTGTTTACCCTGTATATCCAGCACACCTGGGCTTCAACAAGACCAACCAAACCAAAGTAACATTTTTTACAAATTTGACCATTACATTTGTAGATAAAAATGTGCACTTTTGAAACAAAAAGGTAGAAATACCTAGGCAACAGATGTGTGAACAGGCAAAGAAAAGAGTGGAAGGAAACACATGCTTCCTAGTGTCCTCCAGGTTTCTGGATACTCCACACGGCGGCTCTCACTGAGCAGCAGACTGGCCACGCTCCACCTGCTTCCTCTGTTCCTTCTCATCTCCTCCTCCTCTTCGTCCTTCTCATCATTAGACATGGCGAACGCCTGCACTTGTCTAACCTCCCAGAGGGATTGCGACATATGGGAATGCTTTGGGAACAAAAGAGATGTATTGTCAAAACTTAAGAGTGCATTTATTTATAGTCCTATTAGTGACTAGAAGTAGTTCTTTGCCAATACTGAAAAACATCTATATGCCCTGATTTTATTTCATTCTAAGTAAAATAACAAGCATCATGTTTAAAAACAAATGTACAAAATAAAAAACTAAATATACTGTACGTATAGATACATAGTACACATACAATTTTAGCTTTGCTACTAAGTACGCCTACAATATATATATATGTATATATGTGTGGTCCATCTGTCAGTAGTTTAAATCCATGGATTGAGACTATGAGAGGGTGCTGAGGAAAGTCTAACCTGAAGATGGGGATCCAGGATACAACCAATGCAAGGAGCTAACAGTTCTGCATACAAAGTGAACAAATAGCAATAAAAAACAAGCAGACGAGCACGGTACATCAACAACTGCACATAGAAAAACATTCAAAACAAACATGCGGAACAATAAAGGGGATTTAAGCTGATAACAGAGAAGTGTATATTGAATCCAGGGTGTGGTTCACTCACCGATGAGGACTGATGATCGTGTGGTCGTTCCAGTTTGATGCGGACGTCTGCCCCCTTCCCTCGCTCAGGTCTACCGGGCCCTGAAGGATGGTCAACAGTGGAGTGAATACATGTCCATCACAGATTGATTTTAAAACCAGTTATCAATAAATATTCAGAGACAACAAGAGCTTTTTTTTAAGATGACATGTTTTTTGAAACCTCCTGAGACTCTTATGTGTTTTAGGTGTTGAATATTTGTTTAGTATGCTGGACGTGCTCCTGTCTCACCTGGGGAGCTGCCTCGGCTGGCGGTGCTGGTGCTGGTGCTGGTGCTGGTGGCGCTGTCCTCCAGCCAGGTGCTGTAGTTCAACGAGTCTCGCTTGTGTGGCGTCCCGGCTGACGACAGACTCTCCTGGAGAGACGCAGCAAAAGATGCATTTATAAAAAGATATCATTTTGTTACATATCTTTTGAAACTGTCACTATATCCTGACAGTGGTGCAAGAGACAGATAATGAAGTGCTTGATTTTGGCTCCACTGTTTTCAACAAAGTATCTAAATATACAGTAATAATAAAACAATAATGTTTGGGGGGG